TAACTGAATAAAGTATTAGATGGGAAAATGTTAAACTTGATATTTAATTTTGAGCTTTATATTAACATTCAATACAAATGGTACTCGTTATCACAATTCGCTTCGCCGTCCACTAAACTTGACTTGACCTTCGCCTCTTACCATCTACAAGACTCTCTTTTGACAACTGCTGCTCAAGAACACGTGCTCGTGTAAAAAGAAATGTTTATTTCATTGTCAGAGACGACCATTTTGTAAAGAGACCGTACCTTTCTATTTTGTGTCGACATTTACTAAAATCAACCTTGACGAACAGCAGCATCTGCTGTTTGCCAACATATCTAGAGGTCGCCAATCTTGACTCCTTAATTTGCTGTATGAACCAGATTTAATTTAGAGTACTTCATTTTCTTGTTCAACATATTTTTAGTAGTTCGAAGAAATCAATCAAAATATACTTCGTATTCTCATATTGACCATTAAATCCATATAATAAATAGAATAAGAAGATTAAGAAGTTTAACACCGTAGGATCGACGTTTTAGTCGGTATAATGGAAATATAACTCACAAGTATGCGATACTAGCTCTTGTAAGCTCTATTCTGGCAATTTTTTTTCGATAGCCCTCTCATGGAAATCGGAAATTTGTTGCATAATATCTTTTCTTTCAATATTTGGAGGGTGTGGGTGTGGGTGTGGGTGTGAGTGTGGGTGTGGGTGTGGGTGTGGGGTGTGGGTGTGGGTGTGGGTGTGGGTGTGAGTGTGGGTGTGGGTGTGGGTGCGGGTGTGGGTGGACGTGGGTGGGTGTGGGTATGGGGTATGGGTGTTAATATACTTCTGAATCTCATACACACCCACACCCACACACCCACACCGACCCACACCCTCGGAGTACATGAGCGATCTTTCACAACCACGCCCACAGCCACACCTACGCTCACTCACGCCCACACACTACACTCACTCACATCCACACCCACACTCACACCCTCACCCACCCACACTCACACCCTCACCCACCCACACTCACACCTACACCCCACACCACCCACCTCCTCACCCACACTATCAAGCGGTTTCTTCAAGAGATTAGTGTGCGAATTGATACTTGACTAAGCTTTGCCTGTTTTTTCATATTTTTTTTCAGTGATTATCCGAGATGCGGCTTAAAATATATTTAGTGGTTAACTGACTATAATTAGAACATTATCTGTATCTTCTTACAGATTTAACGGAGTGCATTGGTTGACGCTTCCTTAACGTTTCATAATGTGTACCAATGAACAGATGAATGAAATCTATTAATTCATTCCAATTTTGATCATTCGTCAGCCGATCCACATACTGATATGTGTAAAATTCATCCAAATCAATCATTTGTGCAGGATGTATATAATGCCAACTACTTGGTTCCTGAACTTGTAAAGCTTCTTTTAAACCGAATTCCTCAATAATTCCATCGGGCGAGCGTCGAAAAAATCCTGGTAATATAGTCATCTTGAATCCTAAGCTGAAGATAAGACAGGACAATGCGACATCGGACAGTGCAGCGGACTTATGATTAGGTTGGGGCCAAACCGATTCGACGTAAACGGATAAATGAGGATACAAAGCATCAACAAGTGCTGCACTGAATACATGCGCGGTATTGCCACCAATAAATAGACTGTTGTAAGCAGTTCCATTCTTATGATAGCACATTTGTTTACCAATAGAACCTCCAATAAAATATGGTTGTGTAAAATTATATGGTTCAAGTTGTTTAAGAAGATGTGGTACATTTACGTAAGTGTCACAGCCGACTAAAATATACCATTTGTGACGTTTAGATGAATGTATAGCTTGCTGTTGTCTATAGATTAATTCGAGACCATGAAAGATCTTTTTAGTATTCGATTGGTAATCTTCGCCAGTATTTTCTATAACAGTGATAGGTAAGCTCGGGTAAGGTGTCGAGGCGAGAAAATAGTAATTAGTCACGCGAGATACCCATGTCTCTCGTACGCTCGTGGCACGTGTCGCAAATAGCGAAGCGCCCGTATAAATGATAAATGCAATGTCGTTTTCTTGGTATCGTTTTGCTTTCCGCCAACCACTAGTTGGGTTTGGAATTTTCGAGCAATACATTTTAAGATTTTTGGCTGGATGTGATCGATTTTTTATCCAAGGAAATTTCAAAGTTTTCGAGCTGTAATTGCATACAAAACTCCTATGGAAAGAGTTTGTGGGGAAAATACTAGCTGATGAGTTAACCAACCAAAGTACATCATGGACGTTGTTATAGTTGCATGGGATCCAATGAAGAAAAAAATATACTGCCAAACAGATGCTAAGACCAAGTATCAACCAAATACGAGATATGTTCATCTGAAAAAAAGATCGAATTAAAAAACATAGCGTTACTGGTTCACTGGTCATACATTCATCACCGTGAGCAGTCGTTCTCTGTGTCATCATTTCCTTCTCTCTCTCTTTCGCATACACATAGAAATATTTCTGTTCGCATATAGTTCATCAATCATTCTTGGCTCGAGGGGTGTGGGTGTGGGTGTAGGTGTGGGTGGGTGTGGGGGTGAAGGTGGCTGTGTGGTGTGGGTGTGGGTGGGTGTGGGTATGGGTGTGGGTGTGGGTGTGGGTGTGGGTNGCCTCATCCTTTGTGATCTAGTACTATGAGCACAAATGATAACAAAAAAAAAAGTGTTATCAAAAATTTATTATCATATTATTATTTGAAGTATGATCAAATAGCATAGCAAAATAGAGCACTCTTTTCTCTATTAGACTATATAGAAAGAAAGTTTTTTTTAAGCTTACTATATGGCTATGTAACGTCGTGATCAGAACTTTTGGTACACCCTAAGTATATAGATTTTATGAACTATCAAAAATCAATTTGATCTTAAGCAATGTATGGTTAAACATGTATTGAATTGAGAATGTCGATCGGTAGAATTTCTTATCCTAAAAATATTCCTTAATTGCAAACTGTTCATAAAATAGTCATAGATCTGCTAGACAAAGACTCTTGTTTGATCTACCATCTTATTATGTGTTCTAATAAGAAGAAAATCAAATAATGTTTAATTCTACTCAGTTTTTCGTATCATCTTTAAAAGATTTTGTGTTGCTAAAAATTAACCATCATATTGATAAAATTTGACGATAACTTGGTCTAAAATAAGCATACGAACAGTATAAGATAATTATTCTATATCTTTTATTGTAAATCAAGAATTTCAGTATTGTTTTTATCACTCGTATTTAAATATACGAATATTGTGGCGAGTCATATTCATGAAAAAATTTCTTTTGAATTTATTGTTGATGTTACTGTAACAACCCAAGGAAATACTTCTTGTGATGTTGTTATGATGGTGTTATGTTATTATTATGGCCTTCAAATTGCCATACCACTCTTTCGTCCTTACCTGTACCTTAACACATTTTTTCTCTCTTGGTGATGGTATAAAAGCACTAACAGAATAGCTTAGCGATATGATTTTAGATATAAAAATTATATACTAACTATAACCGCTATTATACGGTCTCTATCATCAGAAATCGTCACAGTTACTCTTCCAATTCTATCATTTTTTGTATATCATTGACTATGACGTTGCACTTCGTAAAAAATTGCTGTTCATAATAACACACAATATTAAAAAAGTTAATATTTCTCTAATTAATGATCGATATTCAACGATCAACCATCGTTCTATAGTTATAGAAACAATTGAATTCAAATATTTTCCTATTTTAATATACAATTAATATATGCAAATATAATTAATAGTAGATTTAGAAAAAATAGACACCATTAATTAAAATAGGAACTGTTTTTATCATGTTAATGAGATCAGATTCTAAAATGAGAGTGAAACAAAGTTGCAAATAAGTCAGCTGAAAATAATGCATTTGGTAAAATCATTGTGGTTTGAAAACAGAAGAAGAACCATTATCGGATAAATTTGATGTAGCATTAGCAGATGTTAACTTCTCGCTGTGCATGTGAATGGCTGAATAGTTATCTTGTTTTTATTCTTAACCATACACCTACACTCAAATAAATCAGCGTAAAGATTAGCACTTGTTCCTTTTTTCTGTCAAAAGCGAACATCTGTGATTATCAATAGATGCTGAAAGTATCAAAAGTTGTGTAGCTGACTTATATTTAATTTTTAGGAATCATACAGTCGGGAACAAAAATTTAATCGCATTGGTCTTCTCTCAAATTTTCTTTTAGGTGGAGTCTATGTCTGTCTATATACATATTTCATACATGAAATGATTTTTTCCAGACAAAAAAAGCACATGTCTTCCCGCATTTCGCATTTCTTAACCAAGAGACTTGCAGTTAAATACTCATTCTAAACCTAAGTTTAACGAAAATAGACGAAACACATGGAATTGTGAATTCCTTCAATTTCCATTGCAACACTGCCGTCAAAAGATAAATAAAGTGTATATTGTAATATGATGAGAGTTGAAGGATTTCACTTTTCTATGTGCTTCGCCTATTCTCATTAAAATTAGATTTTTCAGGTAACGATGATCTTTGGGAATAGAATTAGTTTTAGAAATTGACAGAGTGTGAAATTCTCTATCGATTGGTCTAACTTGTTTTTCATTTTAGCGCAAATCTTTTAGTAAAGGGACGCTAAATACTGGAAAACACTTAAATCTGTCTTTGCGTGTAAAATATCACTTTAATTATGAAAAGCTGATAAAGACAGAGAGACTTCATCCGTAATACATCATTTAGCCTACCTCTCATACTATATATGGCAAGAAGTGTGTACCCTGTCGGAATGATACTTAGGCAACAATTTTGTCGAAATTATGACTTCGACATTGAAATTTGGGGAAATTAGTCAAGGTGAACTGAACAGTTACTAATTGATTGATTTACAGTGCTACTACGAAAATATACAATCCAAATTTAAGTTGCAGCTGTAGGACAATTGTTTTATATGAAAATAGTATACACACGAAAAAATTTTGAGTTCATAGAAATAAAGATTTATTAAAAACTGCTTTCCTTCATTCGGTTATACTAACGATTGACACAAAAATAGAAAAGAAAAACTCAGACAATGGTGTGGATGCAGAGCATGGATCTCAAGTTCACCCACACCTATCCATCCGCACACACACGCATACACCCACATCCCGGAGATATGGGAGTCACAAGGAGCACCTATGTAAAGTGCTTATGCGTCACTTCCTTTATATATACTTACGTGGAGAATAAATCATCAATATTGCATTGACATCACTACCTTTTTATGACTATTTGAATCGAACATGTGTATCATTGTGTTTTTTCCTTTCTGTATACGACATGGCCACATCTAAAAGATGCATCAAAGTCACACTACCTCTTATTCGTCTTCCATTCGAAAATAGTATATATGTACATAAGAGAAGCTTGGAAAAATCCCATATACGTCATAATATCACGGTTGGAAAATTCTAATACGTCGTTTTGGAAAAATCCTAAATACAAGATGAGCATATTTTCAGCAGTTGCAAATGCTCTTGAATTCTTCATCTGAAAAACGGAGACATAAAAGATGCATAAAATTACACTGTCATTTATTCTTCTTTAATCCGAAGCCATTTTATCAAGGAGTATAAAATTACTATTCTCTAATCGTTTTGCTATATCTTCGATCTATACCACGAAGGCCATTTCACAATTACTCTACTCAATATTAACAATGAATAAACAGAAATTTTGTACAGATTCAATGATGGTCCAACCTATAGAACTAATTGTAATGCCCGACACCGACAATCAAAGAACAGATGAAATCACTGTATAAATAGTATAAAAATGGACTTGACAACAAAATAACAAGAAAAAACTTTCGTCTATGCACTAATCATCATGGTCTATCGCGAACCGAACTTGCACCACTTCTTGAAAAATGATGTTGAACTGAACCGAATTCAAACTAATTTTTGAAAAGCAGGTGAATGTAAATTAACGAATATAAAAGATGATTGATTGAGCTATCATGCTTTTCAAAAAATTGTGATGCTTTGGGACCATTATCAAACTATATTTGATCAAAGCTTACACTTCAGAGACCGAAAACGAATTGAATGAACCTGCGCTGGTTTGAACAAAAAAAAGACTAACCGAACCGAACTAGAACCAATAAAACTCGGTTTGATTCGGTCTCTGTCTTGAACGCAATCTGCTATCATACAATAAGTACATGGTTTAGATTAATTTCTTTAGTTTCTCATCCAATTATGAAGTTATTGGTCGGCAAGACATATCGATAGTGCACGTGTTTTACCATTTTTTCTAAATAACAATAGCATACAATCTACACGAACAAGTCTATTCAAGAAGAATATAACTAGGAAAAAGAATTGTTATTTTATTTAATATGATCGCATTTATGTAGAATTTCGAAAGTAGAATATTTATTTTCTCTAAAAAAAATTAATATGGAACTTGTTAACCGAATACATTTGAACATAAATAAACTAATTAGTAAATTCGCGAAATAAAATCTGTCGTTTCCAATGATATGTCATCGATTGAGTAGATTCGAATTTTTAACAATTTATACGGGTAATAGACCAATTCTTATTATTGAAGTTTTGGTGTACGTTTGAGATTGTCGTTGTTGTAATTGTGGGGTGTGAAGGGTGTAGGTGTGAATTGGGTGTGGGTCTGGGTGAGTGAGCGTGTGGGTGTGGTGGGTGTGGGTCTGGGTGGGTGAGGGTGTGGGTGGGTGTGGGTGGGTGTGGGTGTGGTGGGTGTGGTTGTGATTGTGGTTCTTCTCTACACCCACACCCACCGTCACACCTAAACCTACGCCCGTCACATCCACCCGACACCCACACCCTTATTTAATAAAGGTATTTTTCACATATGATTATTAGCATTGACATCGATATTTGAAAATGAATTGATAAATTTTGCAATAATTGACTAAGTACAAACGGAATTCCGAAGATCATCTTTTGCTAAAATTTGTTCATTTGTTTCTTTCAATGTAAAATAACAATCATTAGAAGATATATCAATTAAATTTAATTGCTCGAAAATATTTTTATTATTTAATAATAAAGAAGTGTCCATTTACTTTAATGCATAAACGTATTGACTGTTTGTTTCAAATGTAAAAGTAACGTTTGTTTATAATATTCCGATCAATAATATTGATTATCATTGATTCTGTTTGATCTATTGTTGATGGCATGAAAAGGTTTTCATCAGTGCTTTTTCCTTTGGTCATATTAAAAAAAGGCATAATCATTAACAGAATGGTCAATTGTATATGACAGAGTTTTTAATCAAAGATTAATTTATTGACATTTATTTGTTGAATAAAATAGATTCATCATTAGACTTTGATCTATAAAGTATAAAACACATTGAGTGACAAAAGTTTTACATCTATTAAAATGATTTTATTGTACACATGAGAGATGTCCATAGCGCCGGCAGCTTTTTTAGGAAGAAATCTAAAAAATTCGTGAATTCGCACAGGATCTCGGTATTCATGTATGCTATTCTGTAAGATCTAACGAATCTGATCGATTAGCAGCAGCCCTAATTGAAACCAGTCACAGCCTTCAAAATCAAAAGATTTTTTTGAATGTCATCGCGGCGGCGGCACGGCAGCGGCAAGTGCTTTTTATAGCGCGTCGCAATGGCTCTTTTTTTAGAGTTCGTCACGTCGCGGCAGCGGTAGATTCTCAGCCGCGATGGACATCTCTGTTGTCGAGTGTTCATTGGGATTCACAATAGTAACTTTTTGTGCTTTTTATACAAGAAGTGATTCTATTGAGTGTTCTATTCGATATTGATATATTTGTTGAATAAATAATGATGATAGTTACAGAATTGATTTTACATTGAATTTCATCAAAGATTCGTATTGAATATTTTTATATAAATCAATTTTTGATTTTGTTCGCTGTTGATCTAGTAATTGATCTAAATTTAAGTAAATTGTTTTCAAATGTGAAATCAGTATCTATTATAGGAAGTTTCCAATCATTTAATTCATTAGGATTTTGTTTTCTTTCAAGTATGTGTTCATCATATTGAGAATTTAAATATTGACAAAACTGATTTTCTTGTTTACTTTGTGTTTCCTATTGAATGAAAATGCTCATGCCATAATTTTTATTTGTTGTTCTTCAATATTAAATATTTGTTTTTGAAGATTTGATCTTGTGCCCAATACATGAACATAAAGATCAATATAATTTGTACATTTTATTCTACATGGCATATATGGGAGTGGGTGTGGGTGTCGGATTCAGAGTGTTCATCAAAACTACATCCATACCACCCCCACCCCCACCACACACTCACATCACCTACACCCACGCCCACACACTCGCACGCACACTCCACACCACTACCACACACCTAAGCCGCTCAAATTCTATGTTGCTCTTAAACAACAAAAGATATCGCAACGATTTTTTCATTGTTTTGAAGCAAGTGTCTTGGCATGCTATTGCAAATAAATCAATACAATTGATCATTTGATTATCCAACATCAAGCATGAATTTCATCTAGAGAATGTCCGAAAGTAACTTCTTATTTTGAATAGTTTATTACTCCGATACGACAACAGACCCTATAACAACTATTTTACTGTTTTGAAGTGTATATAATACTGTAAAATAATAATATCTCAAAATTCTTTCGACAAGGCAGGAGTCAATGTAGAAATGTAAGATATTATTATTCTAAAGTATTCTGTACACTTCGAAATAGTGAAAAAAGTTGTTATAGTATCTATTGTCGCATCGGAGTAATAAACTATTCAAAATAAGGAGTTACTTTCGGATATTCTCTAGATGAAATTCATGCTTGATGTTGGATAATCAAATGATCAATCGTATTGATTTATTTGCAATAGCATACCATGACACATGCTTCAAAACAATGAAAAAATCGTTACGATATCTTTTGTTGTTTAAGAGTAACATATAATTTAAAATAGGGAGTTACTTTCCAGACACTGCATGTAATTTTTTTCGTTTTTACGCAGAAAATATTTAAGTTATAATAGAAGAAACAGTAACATTGCTTTCATCATCATTGTATGCAGACATTTTATTGTTCTTATACAAATCGTTCCTCAAATATATGATAGGCCTCGACAATCGAGCAAATATTACAGGTGAATATAATATATAGAAGATAAAAGTATCTTGCTCTCTATGATGTTCTAGCCTCCTACATACGAATCTTGTTCTCTTTAATGTTTTTTATGTGAGCAGTCAATGATCTATAGAACTTTATAATAATAACGAGAACGGAAAAGGAGAGGAGAACGAGACAAAAGAAGACGAGAAAAAGAATGAAGAATCAACAGGTGCAGCATTATTTCGTGTTCTAATGTCGGATTTTTTTAAAAATGTCATCCGTCATTTTTTGAATAATTCTTCACCATTGATAGCTTTCGAGTTCGGGCTTTAGCCATTCAATATAGCGGCGTTCGGGGGCATCTATCTATTTGAGATTCATTAGGACCAAAGAAGTGTTTTATGGTAGATATTTAATCGATATATTTTTCGTTACCCATTTCGGTTAGTTTTTATAGAGACATATGGTTAAATTACATGAAAGCCTGACCTGAAGGGTACTGTATCCTTGATAAAATTTTCAGGGCTTTCTGTGGTTGTCTCAAAATACGATAATTGTGTAAAATCTTGAAATTTTGACGCCAACTTAGGACCCTCAGAGCGACATTTTGGTGTAACTTAAGCTTACATCTCTGGAAAACTAACGGAAATGGGTAACGTAAAATATATCAATTAAATATCTACCATAAAATACTTCTTTGATCCTAATGAATCTCATATAGATAGATGCTCTCCATGCCGCTCTATTGAATGGCTAAAACCCGAACGCGAAAGTTATCAATGGTGAAGAATTATTCAAAAAATGGCGGATGACATTTTAAAAATATTCGACATTAACTCAGATTACTACGATTATCTTTGGCTATAACACTAGAAAACCAGACTATGGTGGAGATAAAAGAGCTGCAACAATACACGGTTCAATTATTAGCGGAATGTTTTGCAACATGCATTCTCATACTGATGGGCGAAGCTGCTATTGCTAACTATAAATTTACCCAACAACCTTCTCATTCTACACTTCCAATTGCTATTGCGTTTGGCATCGGCGTCTACTCAGGTAATATTTATAGAAACAATTAGAGGATAGTGGTAGACCGGCTCAAGCTCACGAACCCAGATCAAACGAGCAAAAGAACTGTTGAAGTAGTTCCTTCAATACGAACTGATCTTTTCGAACAGTTCTTCAGATCCTAACTAAAACTGAAATTGTCAATGTCTGGTAGACAAATCAGAATAGCATCTCCATTGACCATTTTTCAGACACTATAATAAAATCTATTTTCTTCTCCAAAAGGGCCCTTCATTATTTGATCACTTGCAGTCTCTTCTCTGGCCTATGGCTTCTCTAACATAAATCATCCTTCCTATATTTCAAGCAGGAATTTGATGTCTATCCAAATTAAACTGGCTTATTACAAAGACTTACTTGATGTATCTTTCTTATTGAGTAATGGATAGGTGAAGTAATTACAATTTATAATAACTGACATTTATTAATCGTCTGCTAAGGAATTCTTCAATTCATTAAGGAATGAGTTACCTTAGTGATTAATTATCTTGCGAGTTTTTCTTTAAAAACGTACTTACAAAGAGTTTTCTAAAAAAAAAGTCTGATCGAGAAACAAATGAAGCAATACTTTATGAGTCCAAGGTCGCCATCAAATAATTTTATCTCTATAATCTGAATTGATCTTGCATATATGGATCATTAGTCACAACGAACTAAATCGTCAGATGGCAGAAAATTTTGTTAAGGTGAGTGATAATCAATAATAATAATTTCGAAGAGTAATTTAATACTAATTTTAAGTAGTTTGCTAGTTAATGATTTGGTGCAACTATTTTCTATTTTTAGTTACTTCTGTTAAGAATCACAATTTGAGGAAACCTAAACATGACAATAATATGTTTGATCGACCGATAATTTTTTTTGATCTGATATTAGTCCCTCCATGAAAATAATCTTTTTTCTGTGCCTGTGACTACCGTTCTAGCCTCATTTCATGGGGCAAAGTCAATATACGTCGGGACGCAGGATGTAAACTGCAAAGAAGTACAGATTTTCAACAGAAATCAAATTCATCACTTTTTGTTTCCTAATACCTAAAAATATATTAATTAATTTATTTTCTTGTTTTTTCTAGCACTGATGCTTTGTGGATCAATTACTGGTATGAGAAAGACTTAGCACTGCATTTAACAGAATTTTATATTGATTATTCTAGGTGCGCATATCAATCCGGCTTTGAGTATATCGTTAATGACTATTCGCAAACTGAAACCATTACAATGTATCTTCTATGTTATTGGTCAAATATTGGGTGCATTTATAGGAGCTGCCCTAGTCTATCTTGTCTACTTGAAGCAATTCGATGAATTCGATGGTGGTACACGAGAAATGACTGGCCCCAATGGTACAGCTGATATCTTCTTTACGATGCCTGCCGAAGGTACACCACAGTGGAATGCGTTGGTCGATCAGATTGTCGGCACTGCTATTCTGATGATCTTTGTCATGGCAGTTACGCATGTAAGAGAGTAGCTAGGGATAAATGAATGATTGATAAATTACTTTATGTAGGAATTGAATCAGATGGTATCAGAAGCAGCCAAGCCGTTTGCATTTGCGCTGATCGTTACAGGCATTATTTGTGCATTTTCAATTAACGCTGGAGCTGCAATTAATCCTGTTTGGAAATTCTATATATTAATTTGCAAAGGTTTATTCTTTTTCTTTTTTATGCTTTAGGCTCGTGATTTGGGTCCACGTCTTTTTGGAGCATTTGTCTATGGTTGGAATGATGTATTTGGTGTACATAACTATTTCTTTTGGGTACCGATCGTTGGTCCAATTGTCGGAGCTATTCTTGGTGTGTGGATCTACCAAGGTTTTATTTGGATCGTGAAGCATTATGGCCATCTTTCCTATATTGAAGATAGTAATGCCGATAAAAAGATCGATTCGAAAGCGATACAGATACCAGAGAATGATTTATCAGATCTTTGACAAAAGTTCACAACCGTGAACGAATAAATGAAAATTGTATAATTATGAATTCATAAAACTGTTGATTTCAGCCCGATTTTTTCATATTCTATACTTACTGTATTGTAAGGTTTATTCTCATGTTACAACACAAAGTATTGAATGGCACAAAGACAGCCAAAGAACATTGCATATTCTGCTAGTATTAAATAAGTTACAAAAAAAAACATTTTATTGCTTATTCTTACATCATCGAACTGATTGTTCGTGGCTGCCAATCACCTTCGCATTGTTCTCCAGAGCCCGAGTGATAGTAATGTGTATATGTGTTGTACTGGGACAGAATGGCAGACACAAAACAGGTAACGTTGTACACGCATAGATGATGCTGACCTTAAATATCTCGCTAAAGACTCCTAACTTTTATTAATGTTCAACCACAAGTATCAATTATTGTTATGACTTTTCGAAGAGGTATGTCTCTTTTGGCACATGATCGAACAAAGAATAATCCTTCATTAATGATCTTGTTGGAGGTCAATTTTGCACTTGAATTATTGTAACATGTTTCTCTTCCCACGGATCACTTCGAAACTAATATCTGAATGATAAGTCAGCAGTTGGATATGGGCGTTGGCTTTTGTGTGCCAGTCGAATTGATGTATTGGCTAAGGAAAAGTAACTACAAGAATTATAAAAACCAATGTGCTCGCACAGGAGCTTCTGTTTGTTGTCGAGTTCGCTTCTTTCGATAGTTTCATATGGATGTTAATTCGCAAGGTTGACATCGCTCGCGTCAACACTTCACAATGCTTCTGTTGACAGATCGAACAAAAACTCGGACGATCGGGCAATATTCTATTGTGGTTAAAAAAGATGAGGTTGTGTCAGTGCATAAAGAAAGGTTGTTGGAACTTTACTCTTTGGGACTCGGTCATTTTATACATTATTCAGTTTCTTTCGTTTGGAAGTGTTCTAAAGAATTGTTAAAAGTATGTCCCACAGCTTATCTTGACGAGATTTTAATACGCAATTTTTGTCACTCTGAACTTCTCGGTGTTTCCAGAGTATGCTTACTTCCGGTTGCTTATGGAAAATATATATTTTATGCATTTGTTTACATCGATCAGGAATATCATTTTTACAATAAGAGAAGATTAGATTTTCATAATAAAATCATTTTACAGATAATCTTTGCATGATGCGATATTTTTGAATAGATTCAATACCTACCGAAACAAGAGGGTATGAATGTGTTTGGGTGTGGGGGTGAGTGGGTGGGTGTGGGCGTGTGTATGAGTGTGGCTGTGACCGTGGTTGTGGATGTGAAGAGAATATACACCCGCACCCACATCCACACCCACAAGATTAACATCTATTCAATTGCCAATCTACAATTGCTGTACAAGTGAAAATACTAAATATGCTCCGATGCAAATATTATGCCCATAACTGCAAAATTTGAAAATTTGACCTTCTTAAGTCTTCTGTTCAACAGCAACAGTCATACTGTTTCAATTACATTCATTTGCCATAAAATCGAATCAAAGTATATCTCCACATAGGACCTGATGGTAAATAGAAAATATGTGTAACTAAATCCTGATATTCGTGTCTTGTGCTATCAAATGCTGTTATGCACTCTGATGCGCCTTCATGTATTTTGATACATATACATTCATTATCCTGTGCATTGCGTGTGGATGTGAACAGTAATTTGTTCTACAACTATGCTCACATCGCATCTACTACCCGTACATAGTCTATCAGAGCACATGTATCAGAGTGCATGAGAGTTCAGAGTAAAAATGATGTGGTTCTTTATTCTTTGACCCTATACATCGAGTGATGAAAATACTAAATCTGCATGGTTGGTCCGATGAATATCCGCTGGAAGATAACGTCGTTCAATATTGAGTCAAATTCTGTTTCACTCACAACCAACTAGAGACTCATCCAAGACTCAAACATTCCAAAGCCTTCATCGAAATTGGAACTGCTGGAATAGTTTTGCAAATGTTCTAAATATTGCAATTAAGATTTTCGCGCAGATAGAAATTTATGCTCAAGATATCAAAGATGATTAGTAGTGACTAGGAATGTAAGGGACACATTACAGTTCTAATCTCAGTTAGTAGGATCAAAACTCAAATTTATTGCAGCAAATTCTATAGTCTTCAATAAACATGTCATGCATCAAACGAGTCCGAAAACGATTCCAGAGAGATGACAAAAAGAGTGTTAGTTATCGAATAAATAAATAAAAATAAGCGATTATTAAAAAATTATTTAGATGTAATACAAATAAATTCTGAAATATTTGTCTCTATATTAGAGCCTAATTTGGGATCGGCATTCGAAAAACTAAAGCCATCGAAACTACAATCACTAAAAGAACAGTTGCCAATACCAGAATATGGGAGGATTATACCAGATTCTCCGAAACAATGACTAGAATTGGTAGAGAAAGAAGTTAGCATGACAAAAAAAGAACTTGGTTCCGCTCATTTCTGATCTCCATTGATACCTGCTGCAAATGAAGTGGCTAAGTACAATTGGCTTATTTACCAGTTAAGTCAAGGGTGTGGGTATGGGTGAGGGTGTGGGTGAGGGCGTGGGTGTGGGTGAGGGTGTGGGTGTGTGTGTGAGTGAGGGTGTGGGTGTGAGTGTGAGTGTGAGTGAGGGTGTGGGTGAGGGTGTGGGTGAGGGTGTAAATAACATTAATACTCACACCAACACCCACTTACACCCAAATCCACACACCCACACTCACACCCACATCCACACCCACCCCACACCTACATCCACACCCACCCCACACCCAGACCCACACACACCCACACCCACACCCCACCCACCCTCGACAGTATTTTTCAATAATAAAAATCAATCTTTATTCATGAAAACTTCAATAAAATAATAAAACAAAATAATAGAAATGCAAATAATAATTGTTTTTCTTTTAACTGGCTTTCTTTTGTAATTGGAGCAGTACTGTATTGGACTCCATGCTCTCTACCGTATTGGACTCCATACTCTCTACCGTATTGGACTCGTTGTTCGGTACCGAGCAAATGTCACCTATCGAAAACTCCAGATCGATACTGGTTGGATTCTCAGGATCATCCAATAGATTCAAATAAAACATAGTGATGTCAGCTTTCGGAATCGCAAGTTTTTCTAAAGCTTCTTCCAAAATTGTCGATAGAAGTGTTTCATATGTGGTTGAAATCATAAAGGTTCTATCTTCATAGATAATATTACATTTGATACCAGCAATCGAAATCAATTTTAATTGAACGTCATCGACAGATTCAGCTACCTCTTCCAATTTAAAGTCGGCATCGACCTCCGAATCATCGACGAGCACTAAACTATACAATTCTTTCTTTAATTTCCATAGTTCGCAAACAGTTTCATGAACATGACCTAAGCACATCGATGGTTCACACGAAAATTCAATTGGATTTGTTTGTTCATCACAGCTCACTGTAACATGTGCTGGTAACGTTTTATAGATTAAAATGAATTCAACAGTATCATTTTTACTTGGTAGAAATAAATTCAATGGCGTTTTACGTGATGCAACAAAATCATTTTTATAGCTAAGATATTGATCTTCAGAAATACTTTTATTTTGTTTATAAACATCATCCATTGTAGCATTGATAAGATATCGTTGATTTTGCATACTCTCTTCAACAACTGCTACAAGTGCATCATTTGGTTGTTGAATCGATACAAGACATGTTTCATGTTTCCTTGCAAGGCAAAATTTTGTATCATTTATCATAGATAAGTTAATTTTTTCGGATAAGACTGTTTTACTTTCACACGATGCTAAATATGTATGAGCATCATTGCCTCCAATTATTTCTAATAGTTGTTTAATTGTTATATCTCGATGTGGAATAGGAATGGGCTTTTCGTCAGGATTATCATAAGAAGTGATTTTAACAAGAGTAGAAATTTGAAAATGAACCGGTTTATCGGTGATCGAAGCATAATCACTGATTGTATTTTTCATATCGGAATCCTCGAGCCTCTTCTTTTCTGGTTCATTCGATAGAAAAACTAGACAACAATCTTCAGGAGATATTTTCAAACCTAATTGATTTATATAATTTGGATTTTTTAGAAGACTATCTACTGGACTTGATTTAAGAATACGAATCGTTTTACTATTCTTATCATACGAAAGTATTACATCTATTATATCTTCCCCATTGAGAACATCGACAGTAATAGATTCAGCTTGACCAAGTATTGAAGAAATTGTTTGATCTACATCAATGAACTGCTGTTGTTGTGCATTCCAAAAACTGTAACTATCAACAGTAGATTCTGCATTGATATCGAGAATTTTCAACCATAAACTCATCTGTTTCAATGTTGTGATAAGATTAAAACATTGACTTCGTGTTCCATCTGAAAAAAAATAGAAAAACACAAAAATGTCGAGTGATGATCTAAATGAAACAAGTACCTTGGCTTGCTGTAAGAGTCACTTCACAGCAAATATTGGTATTCTGTTTACATAGAACAACTTGAATTTGAGTCGATTTTTGTTCAGGGGCTCGATAAATCTTATCAATGCTACAATCTTCAGTAATGAGTTGTCCAAGTGAATCAAATACACTAAAATAAGTTTCCGGTGGTGTAAATTTCAATTGTTGATCAACAATGAAACGATTGAGGATCGTAGTTAATGTTGCTTTTTCTGTCACAAAATATTCCGATTTCTTATGTTCACATTGTAACACAATAGGAATTAATAATTTTTTTTCTACAACACGATATTCTACTTCTATACTAGGTAATATATTATTAACATTTGCCGTCATAAAATCAACTAACATTTCATTGGGATCAATAATAGCAATTGTATTCGGATCGTATTTTTTATCGGTAACGATTTTTTTAAGTTGCCCATAGAGTTTGTCAGGTGTACAGAATGTTTTTTTTCCTTGTTGATCATCTAAATATGTAACAATAAAACGATTACTTGGTCCTTTTAATGTTAATTTTTCAGCTTGTGTTTGACTATTTTGAAATAGGGTCGATGGTGATAATGAAATTGGTTTTATCTTCAAATTGCATACGAGTGTATAGTTGATTGGTTCCTCAAAGCTTGGTTGTGTTTGAACAGCTTGAGGCTTCAATGGTTCAATAATATCTAGTGGAATATCAATCAGCAATAAATCCATTAGATTTACAGTAGTATTTGTTGTTTCTGTGGTAGTAGATGGTTGTGAAACAGTAGGTGCTTGGTTATCTAGTTTAGAATTTTGCTCTTGATCGAAACATAGATAAGTATCATCTTTATTTCGAAATAATTGAAAACTATTTTCTTGCGATTGATTAGTATCTGGAATATCAAAACGAGCATTCCAAAGGTTAACAGTTTTTTCTTCAATATCGATCATTCGTTCTTGTAAGAAATTATACACGTATCAGATCATCATTTCTTTTTCTTGATTTTTTAGATACATCTGTGCTCTATGTTGTTACTTGTTACTTGTTCGAGGCTCACTCAATATTGACATAGGAGTAAGTTTTAAAAATGTTTGATGGAGTATTTGTGAGAAGTGCTATGTTGCCCATATTTGAAATTTGTATGATTTTCGATTTTTATTTTAAGTGAATATCAATAAGGATATGAGTGACTCTCAACTACATCCTCAAGTTAAATTGTACAAAATATTAATTCGGTGATCCATAGCTGAGAAATATGTGTTGCTATAGGTTATTTAATGACACGAATACCGAGCGAAATTCAAGAAAAAGAAACTTAACCCTTAAAAGCCGAAAGGCCTTATCGCCACAAATTGAAAAAACTAACCACTCAACTAGAAGTTCTAAGACCCCAATAAGAATTATTTATAGNAGTGTAACGAAGTCTTTTGAAGTCTTTTGAAGACCCATGAAGTCATACGAAGTCTTATGAAGTCTTGCGAAGTCATTTGAAGTCCTATGACGTCTTCAGAAGTCTTTAGAAGTCTTCTGAAGTCTTGTGAAAATATGAAGTCACAGCGGCTGAAGTCTGTTGAAGTCTGTTGAAGTCTTTTGAAGTCTTGAAGTCTTGAAGTCCGCTGTTTCCCCCTTGCCATTATGTAGAACCAAATGAGCTATGAATATTATCAATAATTGTAATGTCATTATGTTATTGCTATGGAAATACTGCATTTTTATGACATTTCTTAAATAAATTCTGTAATTCCCTTTAGGAAAACACCAATGAAACTGATTTTCAAATTTCAACTTGAGACTTTTGCATAGAGATAGGCTCTAACGAAAAAATTTTATGGTAACAGTTTGAGAACTTCTCTCGTAAGAAATATTTTTCATACATCATGCACATTTACTCTTCATCTTTTTTATTTATTTTCCATGGAAAAACGCTTAATGGTTCTTATGTTTTTCTTAATCATTTCAATTCGGTCTGCTCACGATCGAAATTATTCTGTTTTTTGAAGAATTATATTTGTCAATTGAGAGATATTTTCATGATTTATATTTTTGTTTCAGCGTTTTATCGCTCTCAATGTCAAGTGTCGTGTCCTCGATTTTACATTATTGGATAGTTCTACTGATATATATCTCGATGATATTGAGTCTATACTTAGTTATATGCCTAATCTTCGTAAATTAACATGGAGTATTCGTGATACATCTGAACAAAAGATTTTCTCATGGATTGACAATGGAATCTATGTTAATTAAACATGTATCTCGTCTTGATAACTTTGATTATACAATGACACATCGAATTAGTAATAAAACATCAATTGAAAATTTTAGTCGATGAACAATGAATATTGTTTTTTATGAACATGAAAATGCTAGATGGATACATTTGTTTTCAGTACCATGGCCATCAAATCGACAAGATCAACGAAAAGTACCTATCATCAATGGCAAATATAATATATCAGTTACATCCGATGTTAAATATACTCACTATATCAATCACGTTAATATTACAACAAATGATGAAATGTTGAAGATTAATGAAAAATTTAATCGAGTTCGTGAACTTACAACTTGTTTATCAATTGATAGAAAATTACCACGACACATAACTAGACTAATTCTCAGTGTACAAATATGCGAATATTTTCTCTCTAAGTTCTTATAAAAAAGTTGTTGTCTACTTTAATTTTAGCTATCAGTTCAATGATGTCTACTTCACAAGAACATATTTGTCATTTAATTGTTGAACGTCGTTTAACAGATGAAAATGAAATTCAGAAACTTGCTCATCAATTTCCTAATGTAGAATATTTAGAATTATTATTTCCATTTGGAAAAATCATCATTTCTTCGTTGTTTTCAAACTCTTTTTCGTTTTGCCGATAACCATGAAAAACGTTGTTTTTGGTCTGAAATGATTAGCTTTCGTACAAGATTTACTTATGCGCAATCATATTCGATTTGGAGCAGTAACGAACTTCACTATTGGCTTATTTCAAATACTGATCTAAAATTTCGACCAAATCGTTTTCATACTGATGTTTCCGATTCTACATTCTCTATTTGGCTTTGACTTTTTTCTTATTGATATAAAACTTGTTTAGATAATCTTTACACGTTATCTTAAGATCTTATACTGTCGCTCTCAAAATATCGACTTTTCTAGAAAAAAAACAAAAAAAAGAAACTTTTTTGAGATAAACATATAGGCATGATTTCTAAGGTGTATGGTATAAAAATTCGTAAGAATAACTTCAAATTTTGAAAGTTTCCTCAAAATTCATGATGAGTTTCTTGATTTCTTCAAATAAAAAGCCAATACCATGTTTAAAGAAAAGCTATAAGCGCTATTACAGTTATGACCTTTTATCATAGCCCAACGTGTAGCTAAAAAGTCATCGATACGATTCTAGATGAGCTTTTGTTGAGTACATAGTATAAGCATACTTCATGTTCAAGTTAGACAATTCCTCAATTAACGTTCACGCATTTTTCACGACATTGATTTTTGCATAAATTGTCGAACCCAGAACAAATTTCTTTTCAATAGTCTTCATTCTAGGAAACTTCTTTTTGTTGTACTCGGTAGATAGATGCATTTTCTTTTGAATGGATGTAAGGGGTTTTGTATTCGACCTTCGACATTAAAGGACTTACAAGTTTTCTAGAACAACTTACCCAATATTTTTGCAATTTGAAGACTTTGAGAGGTTCAACAAATAAAATGAAATTAAAATTAAAAACACACTTTTCCTCATTCGAAGTATATTGAAAAATATGTGTATCCGTGAAATCGCAATATAATATGTTGGCTCCCGGAAATCTCCTGAACGGTGACGTTAAAAGCCGAAAATTCTTTTTTTTAGCACTAACTTTATTCAAGTCGCTATTCAGCAATAGTATAATAGAAGAAAGTAGAAAACAAATTGCGTTTTATTTTTCGAATAGTAGGGTAGAATAGTCATTTTTTATTGGGCTCTAGTGATGCTGAGAAATTCATAAAACAATTGACTGGCATACATTTTAAAATCAAGTTACAACACGAAAGTCTTGGTACGAAATTTTTTGCTTATTTTTCTGGTACTTAGAAGCAATTGTGGAGAGGTATAGCACTCAGTTAGAATTCGAATTTTGTGCACTTTCGGCATAGATGACCAGAATTTTCTTTTCGCATTATCTTGTTAAACTATTAGAACATTTTTTAAAAGATTCTACAAGCGACGTCTGCAGTCGATTTTTCAAAACAAATTTTTCTTCAGTCTTTAGTTCAAGATGAAACAGATAGTAAATAGCGCAATGTGCATACAGAGAAAAATTTGCTTTGCAATACTGAACTATTAAAAGCCGCTTCACATTTTGCTTTCGAGTAGGTTTTAGTCAAAATATCGCACTGCAATAAAGAAAAATTCTCCACAGATATTATTCTGGCCAACTTGAAATTCTTTTTTCATAGAATACTAACTTTATATCAAAAGAAAACTCTGTATATATATTCTGAAAGAACACAGCATTTTGATTCTTATGAGCTGCTTTTCATTCTCAACAATTACCTCTAAATGTCTGAAAAATGAGCGAACATTTTGTACTAAGACTTTTGTGTCTCGTGTTAAATGAAAAATCACTACGTGAAGTGTTTATCATTATGTCGCTACTTAAATCGGAATTTGTTAGTCATAGAAAAACTATTCTTCCTTAGAAAATTCATTTTTATTAACAATAACTAGTAAATCTAATATTTTTACTTTCATCGTAAATTAATACGTGTTGAAATGTTGAGTCACTTACCACTAATACCGATCGATTATTAACATTGTTTGCATTTGAGAATAGTTAGACAGATTATTGAAAATGTATTATTATGTGATTTAAATAGAACAGATCAAGCACATAGGTATCACAGAATAGGGAATAAATAACTAAGCGATGATTGATTACTTACATTTTTCTCTCATGTCTTATACAATTGGCATCTATACAAAATAAAGAAGACGCCCTCATATTTCAGTATTAATGAGATTATTCGTAAAAAAATGTCTTCGATAGGTATGTGCCAGAATCATATTGCATTCGTGTTCACACAAGATGGAATCCAAGTGATTCATTTTCTTTTGAGCTTAAAGTTTAATTCAATGTCAACAAGACCCTCATTAATTCGTTCTTAGTGACTATTATCGTAGATAATACGATCGAATTGATCGTTATCCGGAAATATTATGCATCAAATCTAATGTAGAAACTGCAAAGAGTAGCGATATGCGCCATTTCTTACCTGCCACCAGTATATACTATGCGGCCGAATCAAGTAGTTCATTCTCTAAGACATTTGTTTATGGTAGTTGAAAACATTGAAAAAATTTTCAGCTCTTTATTGATTTTCATATGGAATTTTACTTTCAATTCGATCGATAGCTAATTTCTCTTACACGAATTCGATAGACAATATCACTACAAAAAGACCTAATCTTCCGTTCTTTCTCATGCATCATTTTAAAACTAGCATCATTCAATAGGAGCATGGCTTGTTTAATAATGAATCCATATCTCAATATGACAAATTTTGTTCGATGCTCTACGAATCGATCGACCAAGACTTGCAATTCAGTTTCAAATATATTCTTGTTCAGAAATATAGTCAAAGAAGTGAGATGATCAAGTAGATACTTTCAAGTGTACAACGATCTATGTCTTATATATCAAGATTTGGAAAACATATTGACGATAAGAATAAGTCGTGACTGCTAATTGTNTCAAGTTTTATCCTCGTATATTCTTACATTAAGAATTCAGAACTCAATTAAATCCATCGTGGTATCTTCATATTGATCTTCGAGTTTGAGGATTCGTGAATTTTAATGATTATCATTCCAGAGTTCTGCCAACCAGACTTCATTTGAAATTGAGGCATATTTTATTTGACTTGCTCAGCCGTGATCACTTTTTTGTATAAAAAATTCGAAAAAAAAAAGAAAGTTTACTCCTGATATAACTTACGAGATAAATTAAGGATATTAAAACTTCCCATCAAGTAGTTTTATTCTTCACATGTTAAGTAATGAATAAAAATATACGATAGATTTATAAGTAACTTTCAAGAAAGAAAAAAGAAGTATTTTTGTTAGTCAAGCACAATTTTTATAGTTCCTCGAAGTTGAAGTCAAATTTCGACAGAAAATACAGACGAAGTCAAAAATTTGAACTCCGCAGTAGGGGTAGACCATTTAACTTAACGTAAAATTAAGTTAAGCTTTAGTTTTTTTCTACTCCTATACGAACTTAACATGGTGTAGTCTGAGCCATTCAAAAGAAAGCACCTCGGACAACAATTTGTGTTATTCTTACAAGAAACGAAGAAATCATTTGCTGAAATCCGATTGTCTAGAAGCTGTTCTATTTCAACGAATAAGATTTGAGTAAAGTTTTCTCGATTAATTGATCCACCTCTCTACTCCATAAACCACTGACTTCTAGTTGCAAGTGTTGAAATTTTTTTCCAAGTCATGCCTGACTTGGTTAATAATTATCTTGTTTTATTAAATATTGTTTCTTTTAGTTTGACACGTCGATCTTATATAGAAGCAAAATATGTTCAAAAAGCATTTTTACGTTCATTACCAGCATCAAATCAAATGCGTTCATCAACACGTACTATTAAACGATGGTCTGTAATGAAAAGTTCAATATCAACAGCTAATACTGGAAATGAAAATGATGATGATACATCACATACATTAAAAGTCAACAATCGACAATTATTAACTAGGTTATATTATTATTATTTTTCATACTAAATCTCGTTGTTATTGATTAAGTGAAAGCAAATAATTTAGAAACATAATATTGAAAAGATTTGAGTAGCTGTAATAATTTTCTATCAGAAGAAGTACTTTGTCAAATTCTTATCAACAGACTTGGATGAAAGGTCGTGAAAACTAATTTTTTGAATTTTATCAAAACCATTTTGTAAACAAGTTCATCTAAGAAAAGTCCCAAAGTATGAAACATAGTAAATTCATATCTATTTTCAGAAAACAGCTTGTTAGGCCAATCGGACAATCATGATCATTCGTTGAAGAGCATTCGGATATATCTTATTTCGTTCAGAACTATTTTCTCATATTTTACCCAAATCTGTTAGTGGGAGTTTAACAAGTATTTATCCTGATAGGATACTGTTTAAGTTATTCAAATATTTTCTCTGATTTATTCTAGCTGTTATCGTTAAGGGAAAAAGTTAAAAATATATTGTTTTTAAAATTTTCGTCTATAAGTTTTTTTTTCTTATATTTTAGACGATTAACAGCACCATCTGATAATGATACAACAACAGGTGAAAAAAAATTGATATTTTTTCTTTAAATTTTTATAATTTTTTAATATTTAAAGATAATCCACCAGCAATATGGAATATGAATATATATTTATATGAAGGAGCTCGTCATCGTAATGTTCCAATGATGCTTCATGCATTAGCTCTTGGTGCTGATAAAAATTTTTTTAATGAACATGATCATGGACGAACACCATTAATTCAAACAATATTAAGTGTATGATTTTATTTTAATTTAATTTTTAATAAATTTCTTTGTTTATTATAGAGATCAATAGCAGCTGCAGAATTTCTTTTGACAAATAATGCAAAAGTAAATTTAGCTGATGAAGATGGTAGAACACCTCTTCATTATGCAACACCATTAGCAAATAAAGGACGAGGGTAAAAAAACTTCTTTTTTTTTCTATCGATATTCGATTTTATTATTCTAGACCAATTATACTTTTACTTAAACGTGGGGCTGATCCATTATTAAAAGATCATAATGGTATTGATGCATGTTCACTTTCCATGACTATCGGTGATCCTGATGTAATAACATGGTATCGTTTAATAGCATTACATGAACAAATGAAACAAGAAGATGCTGATGCAGAAAAAACTTATATATCAATATTAGATGATCCTGTGTATATGAAAGAAATAGCAAGGACACCATCATTTTCATGATAGAAAAAAAATTAGAATGTCGTTTTCTTTTATGTTTGTTTTTATCTGTGATATATTTGGCGGGTTAGTTTATATAATGTTTTTTTTTTCGTATTACGTATCAAATAAAAAAAATTCTGCATCTATGTATTAAGATTTAATTTTGTTTTGTTTTTGTTTGTGTGTATGCTTTGCTTTGTATCATTTTTATCTTTAACAAAAAAAAAAAGAGAAACTTAATAAATATTGTTCATTTACCGGTTGTGAATTCTTTAATGAAGGTAAAACTTACAAAAATAGATTATAGAAATTGAAAAATAAAAAACATCAAGGATGTACAAATATTGATTGTTAAGATCGAAATTCAGTTAAGCTTTTATGTTGAGAAGGCATAAAGTTGAAAATTTTCTTTGCTTTCCGATTTGATTATTTATCGATTTTTAGTTGTCGTTTGTATGAATATTTTTCAATTGTTTCGATAGAGAGAGAGAAATATTGTTATTGTAATCAATGTAAACACAAATGCATCTTATATAGTCCTTGACAGATATAAAAGCGTTTAGTCAAACTGAAATTGGTTGTACTGATGAAAATTAATTGACTACTTATGACAATTATTGTTATTCATTCACCAGTAGGCGTACTTTCGACTTATATATTTTTTATATGCTTCCTTATTAAAATGTGAACTATGTCTGTCTTTAAATGTTCTGTGAAATAGTCTATCAAATGTGAAACAAAACTCAATATATTTCATTAGAAATTTGTTTCTATTGTTGTTGTTGATGTACACGTTGTTCTTCTCAATTTTAACTAATCCAATTGTTATTTAACATCACCATTAACTGTTGTAATGGAAACACGATAGCTTTGTTTGTTTTTTTTTTTTTATTCGAACAGTAAAAGGTAACATAGAAGCAACATTATTGTATTTCGAATGTGCATTTGTTCGTGATGACAAGTTTGGTATTATTTAATTCGGAACCATCTTCAACGGATGATGCTATCAAACCAGGCGTTGATTGGGGTACTGGTAAACAACGTATTCCATTGAGTAATGATCCAAGTTCTACTCATCCATCGGGAACATTTCTTTACAAGTAAGATTTTTTACAAAATAAAAAAAAAAGATAAGTATTTCTATAAATTAACAACTATAGAGGCGAACCAATTGCACAAAATTATCGAAATACAGATATAACATTAAGTAATGTTCGAATAAATGATGAATTGTATGTTTTTTAGGCTTTTTTTTCTCTATATTTCAATTCATAATTTTATTTAATACTATAGAATACCTGCAGCACTTCATACAACTGATATAACACCTCATCAAATACCTTTAAAATTTCCATCAAATCATCCATTTTCATCACATATTAGTGAAAAAGCACTTTTTCCTAATGCAAGTATCAATGTTGATGATCGTCCTTCAACAGATATGGATCCATATATTGTCACACATAAAATTCGTGGTAAGACAATTTTATATGTTCGCTTTCTTCTATTTATTTCAAAATTCTATATGTTGAATTTTGTTATATATGAAGTCTATGTCAATATTTTTTTTTCTTTATAAAGGTAATCCATTTCGTCGTGAAGTACATTATCAAGGTCTACAACGACAACGGCATCGAAATTTTAAATGGCCTGATAATCAATATATGCAGGTAATCTTAAACGACAAAGATTAACAGCAAATATTTAATTTAGTATGTTTTTTTTTTGTTTTTAGTTACCTCGTTCATTGAGTGATCTTAGTTCATCATCAATATATCCTTGGCCACGAAAAATATTTGTACCAAATGATGATAGTTCTATTGAAAGTTCTGGAACAAATATAGTTAAAAATAAAGAAAGATCTTTATTTGAAACATCATATCAAAGTGATTTTTCAAACGGTGAAGGTCTTGGTACACATGTTGTGTATGATACAACAATACCACTTCAACCAACAGAACAATTAGTAAAAATTTATTTTTCATTTAAATAAGAAAAGAAACTCTTTGTTGGTTGATTTAATTTAAAATAGAAACCATATTTTAAAAAAACACTTGATCCAGCAAGACCAATTGAAGGTATGCAAGCTATTCATATTCATGGTAATCATCGACAACCAAGTGCATTAGAGAAACAAAGAACACCAACACAATATTCAGCAACAGAAACAACTAAGTAAAAATATAACGAATTTTTATAGTTATTTATGTATTTTTTATTTAGAGTTATGAGTGAAAATGATAAACTTGATGATCATATGCGAAATGGAACTGATTATGTAAATTTACCAGCTCATATGTTTCCAACAGAACGAGCAGCAACATGGATTCGTAAGTTAAACAACAGAATGTCATCAAATCAGTTGTTGACAACAAACACATACACACTTAAGACGTTTCTGTTTTGAAAAATATTATGATTAAAGACTCCAAACGTCAAATGATCATAGAGCTCTATTCAAATTAGTACTTGAATCCTTTTCTTCTTCTTAAAAATTAAAGTGAAACTCTACAGAAGTAAATTTAAACAAATTGAAGATTACCACATCTATGTCGAGCTTATTTTAAGACGCGTTGGATGAAGAACAGTTCGATACGAAACTCTAAGGAGTTAATATAAAACCTAAACAGTTTTATAGCAAAACGATTCACTCTAATTGTTGATTGTCCTACATCTTTCTTTCGTTTATTCTTCTTATTCTTGTCGTTTTATAGTCATATATAATATGTAGATCATAAGGTGACTGGCTCGTATTATCTTTTTTTCTAAATTTTATTGTATTCATTATAATAATGTTAATAAAGATGTAAAGTGTATGAATAATATTCAAGTTAATATGAATTTTTTCGAATCGAATGAAATTAACTATAAAACAATTTTTTTGTTCTTTTCAGCTCGATCCGAAACTTCAAATACTAATAATCAACAACCTGAAATTCGATATCTTCATCATCTTCGACCATCTTCAAGTGTTCCACAAATTGCTCGTGATCATCAAGCAAGTCATCAACAAGTCGAAGCTGAAAATCGTCTTGAACAATTAGAACTTATTCGACCACAAGACAATCTTAATTTACTCAATATTAAATTTCGTACTCTTCAACATCCACGTCATGCTCGACCAATTTTACCACAATATCGTGATGCTTATGTTAATACATTTTATGATCAAGTCGGTACATATGTTCAAGAACGATCAGGTCTCTATCATACCAATACATATGATCCAAATGCATTAGTTCAAGCAATACCGAATATTGAAAATTCAGAAAATAATCAAGAAGAAAATGATCATTTATTAAAAGATGAAAATTATCTTGGTGATCTATTAGATTATGGTGAACAAACACAAAATGTATCAAAACCAAAATTATTTCAATATAAAACTTTTCATGATTATCAAACAATGCGGGTTTGTTTAGATAATCTAATCTTTTTATTTAATTAATGAAAAACAAAAATCTTGTTGGTTTTGTTTTTAGAGTCGTCTTCTTAATAAATTTCGTGTTCCACAAGATACAAGTACTGTTAACGCTCGTGTTCAAGAAGGTAATAATAATCCATTTATTCAACGTGAATCAACTTATGGTCAATCATATAATACTCGAAAATTTCTTCAAGAAAATACATTATCATATCAAGCACGTTCTGATCCAACTTGTTTAATGAGTGCACAATATAATACTAATCTTGAACGAGTACGAAGTATGAATAGTTATCCAATAAAACCAACACATAATATATCATTGAATAATAATGATAATAATAATGAAAAAACAAATGATATTCTTATTGGTCCACTTATTCATCCATCACCATATGATGAATTATATGCAACAAAATATATTACTGAACATACAGATGGTTATGCTCGTCGATCAGCAAATCGTGTTTATGATTCACCATTTAAAAGTAAAGAAGATATGACTGTCTATAAATTTTTTGAAAAAAAACAAACACCAATTGCACCATATCTACAAATTCCTCATCAACTTCCAAATTCAGCTAAATATGATTTACGTCTTCCTGGTCCAGAAGTAGTTTCTCGTTTTATTGAACCAAAATTAGAACCGCATTCAACTTATCAACATTCATATAAAGATGTATCGTTTCATGAAACAGTTTTACCGATACAAGATCCAAGATTAAGTTTAGATCCAAGTATTTTATCAATGAAAGATAATGATCAAAGATTTGGTCGAACATCAGATGGCCGTATTAAACAATGGAAATTAATTGATCTTCAAGATCGTTGGACAAAAACAAAAACACAAAGACAATATCATATTGATCATCCAGAAGCTGTACCTTATGTTGGTGAAAGAACAATACAAACGAAGAAAGAAATTCTTATTGCTGATAATATTGAACGACAAAGAATGATGACAGTTCGATAAAACTTATTATCAGAACTGATTTGAACTTTTTTTTTCAATAGTTTATTTAGCACCGTTTGTTTTTTCTTTCTTTTCAAATAAAATAATATTAAATCTTGATTTTTTTAATTTGACAATATTGAAGAATATATGACTACCATGAATTATTCAATTCGAATGTATTTGAAACAATAAATTAATTTTTTACTATCTAATTGAAATGATTTACAATAAATTTTATTATATTTAGAGTGTAAAATGTGGGTGTCGGTGTTGGAAGAGTTTTGAAGGATAGATCGACACTCATACCCACCCACACCTACACCCTTGCTTTTTGGTCGCTATTTCTCATCATCATGCTCACTAGAAGACTACATTAATCCTTTGTCGAATACATGTTTTTATAATTTTTCAAAGAAAGTGTAAATGTTATAAACCAGCTCCTGGATCCAGGAGATTTTTTTGAATCAGAGAAAAGTCTAAAAATAAGGATTCTTCCGGCTCAATCAGAAGATTTGACAGCCATCATTACGATCATTATCATTATTATTATTATCATCATCATCATCTTCATCACCGTCGTTATCATCATCAACAACTCTGGTAAACCTTGCGTGGAGTCTATTGTTTTGATATTCTTCCCATCGATCGTTTCCTTTATCTATAAAATATCCATTACGATGATGATAACGATAAGGTGCATCCCAATAACCATTCTGATTTTCCGCAATTAAAAAGATTTCATTTGGTTTATCACCACGAGACCAATGGACATTGCTACTATCTTTATAAAAATAAACGAACATATTTCTTGATGAATCAAAAATCTTAACGCAAGATGGAATACGTTCTCTACAGGTCGATTCAACGTTTAGTGTATCAATACATTTTAATTGAATTATTCTTGCATCATGTATAATATTCTGAACAACATAGCCACTATATGGATAGAATAAAATTTCTTGTTCTTCTGGATAGATAGAATATTTTGAAATATCACTACGATATGTCCAATCATCGTTTGAGGCATCAATTTCAAATAGATAATCACCAAAACGATGTGCTACATCTTTATTTTTTGATGTACATGTAAATGTTGGCAATAAAAACTGTAAGCCTACTGTATATTCCTGTTTTACATGTTGATGATCAATAGATAAACCACGATAAACTTTAATAAATTCATTTTCACTATTATTCTTAATGGCCATTCTTAGACTGTTAATAAATCGTGCATTTTTTTTCAATACTTCATCATCATCATTGAGAAGTGCTGTATTAATTGTACAGTAATATTGACCATCTTCTTCACTCCATTTTGAAAAAACTTGTCCTTCTGGATCACATATGCTATTTGTTGCGATTATTTCACGATAAGATGGACGACGAAATGCGGGTAAAAGAAAACGCGATGTTTTACAAGAAAACTTTTCAGCGTTTCGCCTTGATGCTGCCATACTTGGAATACTTTGAATAGATTTTATAATGCAAGAGATGATGCCACTTTATTTGTTAAAGTCAGCCGTTTAGTTTCTGATTTTCTAGTACGAAATACAAAAAGAGTGGAAAAGTAAGTATTCAAACATGGGAAATCAATATTATTGGTGCATACTAACTATAGGTATAAGTCGATACATCAATCGGTGTAGCGACTAGAAATATTCAACACTTTCTGCGATGGCACTGCCGATTCTTGATGATTCTTTTAACATTTTCTTCGCTTTAAGTGATATTAGATATGGAATCAGTATTAGTGAAATATACTCCAATGCGCTATAACCAATATTCGATTCGAACGAATTATTAATCGCAAAAAATGTACATTCTTCATTCAAACGACTCGATACCAGATCATTTTTTTTAAACATTCTTTGATAAAAATACAAAATATTCTTTAGATAGATTCACTTCAGACTATTCCAAGGTTGCCGAGCTAAGACTTTGAGTGAAATGAGATGTCTGAGAGTTTACTCAATAAAATCATATTTGATTCTTTTAGCAAAGAGACTCTTAAAAAAAGTAGCTTGGTGGAAGTCTAATGATTGAAGATATTGAAACTATCAATTAATAATCTCTTCAAGTTAAGTAGCGTTTAAAGTGGAGTGGATTGTTGAGTATACTAATAATTTCTAAATGGAATAGATTGACAATGATAGTATAATAGAGCTGAGTACAAGTAACTAGACAACCCATATGAGAAAGAGGAAAAAATTATGATTTTAAATTATAATATAATAAATATAAATAAGTCCCATAGGATTATCTTCCGTCGTGGTCAATAGATGAAAGAATAAGATCTTTTCACCCTTTTATATTCTGAGCTAGATGGCAAAGATCTTGTATATTGCAGTTGCACCAATCTGTGATATCATCTAACCATTCTCTAGAAGGACGACCAACTCGAGATTTTCCATCCATTCTAGAGGATACCACTTGCTTTACTAGCCTGTTATCATCCATTCTACTAATATGTCCAAATAATTGTAGCTTTCTCTTCTTTATGGCATCCACAATAGTAGTTTTTCGGGATATCATTTTTCTTATAGCTTCATTTGATACTTTATCTGTCCACTTGATTTTTAATATTTGGCGATAGCATTTCATCTCAAATGCTAGTAGTTTCTTTTTATCACTTTTCTTTAGTTTCAATGTTTCTGATGCATATAATAAAACAGTGAACACAGTTGTAGTTAGGATTTTTAGTTTACTTTCTACTTTGATTTTTTCACTACTTATTATATGTTTTAACGAAGCTAATACTGCTGTTGCCTTGCTAATTCTTCTTTTGATTTCTTCGGTGCAGTTATTATCACAAGTTAAAAGACTTCCAAGGTATTCGAATCTGTTGACATTTTCTATGACTTCTCCAGATATCTTAATCTCTTGGTTATTGTCTTTCTCCCCAAAAAACATTATTTTTGTCTTTTTTGCGTTTATAATTAGTCCAGCAGACTTCGCTGAGTTGTTCGCGGTTTCGATTTGCTCTGTAAGACTATTAAAATTTTCGTCGATAAGATCTATATCATCAGCAAATCTGAGATTGTTTATTAAATTTCCATTGATGTTGACTCCACAAGGTTTTTGTTTTACCTTCTCCATGATTCGCTCGAGGTATGTTATAAATAGAAGCGGAGATAATGGATCTCCTTGCCTAGTTCCTACGCTAGTATAGAACCATTCTCCATCTTCCTTATTTATTCTGACAGCTGACTGAGCTTTTCCATAGATTTCCTTTAATAACTTGATTAATTTACCATCGACACCATGAGATTTTAATACTGCCCACAAAACTTTATGATTAACAGTGTCAAAATCTTTCTGGAAATCTATGAAACAATTATAGATCTTTTTACCTTTCCCTTTCGCCTTTTTCGCTATAAGTCTCAATATTAGGATTTGATGAACAGTACTTCTATCTTTTCTAAAACCTGATTGTTCTTCAGAAAGATAGGAATTCAATTGATATTGAAGCCTGTTTAGTAGTATTATTAAAAAGGTTTTGCTAATATGATTAATGAGGGAAATAGTTCTGTAATTTGAACATTCTGATAAATTCCCCTTTTTAGGTAATGGGATCAAAATTGACTTTCCCCAATCTTCTGGAATCACTTCGCTATGCCATATTTTATTACAGAGTTTGTGAATTTCATGTGCTAATGACTCTCCACCACTTTGTAATAATTCAGCTTCGATTCCATCTAAACCAGGACTTTTATTCTTTTTTAATGATTGTATAGCTAGTTCTACCTCCGAAAACAGGATATCATGAGATTCTTGCTGAATTGGTGGGGAAATTTCTTCTAATTCTTTTATTACTATATCTCCTTCACCATTATCTTTGTATAAGTTACTACAATATTGAGTCCATCTTTTCTTGATCGCTTCTTTAGATTGTAGCAAATTTTCATCATGACTCCGTAATATATTTAATCGTGGTGTAAAATCTTTATTTTTTAGTGTTTTTATTAAGCTATACGCTTTCTTGGTGTTACCTACTCTTAGACCTTTATCAATTTCTGTACACTGTTCTTGCAACCATTGTTCTTTATCCTGTTTTACTGATCTTTTTACTGAATTACAGGCTTCTCTATATTTATTGCTGTTTTCTATTGATATATTGTTTGTTAGCTTCGCTAAACGTTTCTCCTCGACAAGCTTTAGTGTTTCTGCAGAAATCCATAGGTTCCTAGATGATTTTATTATAGGAATAACTGTATTTCCTGTTTCTCGGATAGTATTTAGTATTTCTTTTGAGTGTTCTTCGATACTACTATCTGGTTGAAATTTTTCGATTTTTCCTTTTAATATATCGATGTAGAGTCCTTTGGTAGTAGTATTGTTCAACTGGTTTATGTTTAATCTGCAGTTCTGATTTCTCTTATGGTATATCTTCTTCAGGTGTAATTTGATGTTGCATAACACCAGTGAGTGATCTGAACCGATATCTGCACTTTGGAATGTTCTGCAATTAATTACAGAAGATTTCCATCTTTGCTGAACTAAGATTAAATCAATCATATTCTTATGAACTCCATCTGGTGATTTCCAAGTCCATTTTCGATCTGCTTTATGCTGGAATCGCGTATTACAGATGAATAATCTATGCGCTGTTGCAAACTCTAGGAGACGTTCTCCACGATCATTCCTGTCTCCAAAATCGTATCGACCCATCACAGAATTCCATCCAGTGTTATCCTTGCCAACTTTTGTATTCCAATCGCCAGACATAAGAATCAGATCTTTCTTAGGAACCTTAGCTAGAGTATTTTCGATACAGTTGTAAAATGCCTCGATTTCCTCCTCTGGAGATGCAGAAGTTGGTGCGTATACATGAATTGCCGTGATTTTAAGTGGAGTTGCATTAAATCTTGCGGTGATTATTCGTGAATTAATTGGATTATATCCAATTAAAGCATTTTTAGCCTTCCTACTTAATAAAAACCCTACTCCATTTGCAAGAATGTTTTCTTCCCCTGACCAAATAAAATCTCCAGTAGCTGTTTCTCCTTTTCCTGTCCATCTAATTTCTGAAACCCCAATTATATCGTATCTGAAACGTTTTAGTTCATTTCTGAGTGGATCTAGTTTTCCTGTTTCCCATAGAGTTCTAACATTCCATGTTCCGATTGTTAAGATTTCTTTTCTTAATCTCATTCCATTGGTGCTAGTTGCAATGTTATTTGTTTTGGGGTTTCTGGTGTTTGACAGTTTGAAAGTTTTCCAGTAACCAACTTTTCGACTCCGTCCTGGTTACCCGACAGAGGACGCGGACCTTGTTCACCNNNNTTAAAATTTCACCCAATCATATATTATGTGTTAGTCTTCTTGTAAAAAATTGTTTTCCACGTATATATAGATTAACGGTTTTCTCAGTGATTTTTCTGTAAAAATAATGGTTTTTTTCGGATTTAACTTTTTCAGATTATACTAACATTTGGAAGATGATTAAGCTATATTTAACAAAAAAAAAAGATCTTTGTAAATTAAAAAGTCACATGTCGATCTGGTCTATTGAAAAGTATTCACAGTGCGTATGTTCATTTAAAGGTACCCGCCCCTTCACATTTCTAAAGTTTCGGTAGAATACCTAATCAGAAAAGTTTTAAATTTTCAGGGCAGGTATAATTTGACGAGTAGAGTAAATATTGTCATAGATTCAAAGTTCTCAGACACTGTCTTCTATGAGATACTGGAGTCACAACGGCGCAAAATGAGTTCTGTTTCTCCGAAATGTTATGTTTTTGATCGACGTGAGAATTTTTTAAAGGGATCATATGCTGCTTCAAGTGCAAATTTGTTCTTTTTTATCCTTCAAATTAAAAAAGGCAAAATATCACAGGTATCATAAAGAAATGCATGCTTTTTTTTGTAAGAACTATCAAAAATCAGCAGAACAATTTTTTTGAAACAAACAAAAAAATTATTCGGTTTGGAAAAGAGGAGGTTGACTTTAAAAAATATTCAAACAGCAATCAGTACCATAAAAACTGTCTTCAAGTTCAGAATAGGGAAATTCAATTTCAGTTAACATCTCGTTGTGAAATCCAGACCGTGTTCAAAATGGTAGTTACTTCTTGATCGCGTTTTTGATTAATTCAACTTATTATAGATGTCACTGGTATGCAATACTGTCATATTTTTTTACAGTTATTTTGTTCGAAATTTTGAAAAAGGAATCAATTAAGGTTTGATTCTTATTAAAATTTTTTGAAATAATTTTTCATTATTTTCTTACTAATTTTTATTGGATGAATCATATATCTGTCAACAAAAATGGCTACGATAGTTTACAATTGTCTTGTTTTTTCGATAGTTGAACTCTCAGTAGTTGATTTGTTCAATTAAATATCTATTTGATTATAGATTATCAATCATTAACAAACGTTTTAATCGAATGAAACCACGTTATAATCTTCGTATTCTACCAACTAAAGTTCTTATTTCCACAACCAATAAAACTATTTCTTCAATATCGTCTTGTCGAATGTTTGTATAGATAATTCTATAAATTCATCAAAACAATAAATCATTTTTGTTTTTTTCTATTCTAGTCTAAAGAAACCTAAACTACATCAATCAACTGCATTAAAAAAGAAACAAAACCGACGTCATAGTCTTCGTTTAACATCAAATACAAAACCTCGACCAATTATTCATGAAACTCGTATGAATGAGAAAAATTTATTATATAGATACGAATAAAATTTATTTTTTTGTTTCTAGCACTAAAATTATGTACAATTGAAAATGATCATATAGAAGAAAATTCATTAAACAATGATGAAGATGATAATTATGATGAACTTCTAGCACGTCATCATCGACACATGCTTGAAGAACAAAAAGATCGAAAGTAAGATAAATATTACAAACAAATTTCAAATGAATTATTTTTTTTTTTTTTACTTAGACTTTATGAACGATATGTTCGTGGTCAACGAACACTCCGTCGTTTACAATGTCGTCGTACTCATACAGCTCATTTGAATGAAGCAACACGTACTCGTTTATTACGTGAATTAGAACGTGAACGTCGTTATACTGTTCAAGAACAGATTTGTACTTATCGTAAGTTAAATATTTTTTTCTAATCTATATATATATATTTTAATTTTAGTTGCTGATCATTCAATTATATTTCGACATGGATGTCATTTAAATTCTAATGAATCAATAAATTGGACAACACTTGAAAATGAAATACCTCGACAGAAACATTTTGATACAGTACATCAATTAGATGTGATGATTAATAATTTAAAAAAAGTTATTCGAACTTCAAAATCTTCTATGTAAGATTTTTCATTATTTTTTTTTTTTTAAAACTATTTATGTTAATACGAAAAAGAAAACAATTATTTTATATTTAGATCAAAACCACGTTTATCTGTTCATGAAAGACAAAAACGACGTTTAGCTGCTGCAACAACAACTCCGGTTATTCATATTAATTCTTATGAGATACAATCAAATGAAATTAATTCAACAGTTCCATCGTAAGTTAAAGAAATTTGATAATTTTATGTCTATTTTCTTGTTTATTTATTTTAAAAGAATGAATATTATATCACAACCAACTACAATATCTCGTTTACCATGTGTACGATTTATTGATGACTCATTACGAACAACTAATTCACAACATTTAACATGTATTCAAAATGTTTTATTACAAACAAATAATAATCATCAAAGTCAAATGTAATAAAAAAAATCTATATTAATTAATTTTTTTCTTTTCTAATATCAATATAATTATCTTTATTTCTAGTGTAACAAATGAAATCTCAACACCTATTACTATTAGAAAACAATTTCTTCGTCAAAAATCTACGCATATAAAGTATGTTTCAAAACATAAAAATAAACAAACAAACAAGCTTCTCATTTGTTGTTGTAGTTTATCTGATTCATCACATATAAAGAAACGACCATTGGAGAAAGAAAATTGTAGTCTTGTGACATCTACAACCAATAATCATTTACACTCAAATGTTGTTTTAAGAGCGACATCACCGTAAGTAGTTGTAGGCATATTATAAATATATATCGTTCTTGTTGCTTATATAGAATGGTATCTATTAAACCTTCAACATCGTATCGTTCATATCCAAATACACGAAAGCATCCAATAGTTACAAATTCATCAACAACAAATCGTCGACAAACAAGGCTTTCGTATGTTACTATTTTAAATAAAAAAAAAATTATAAATGATATTCAAGTCGAATTGAGAGAATTAGTTTTGGTATAGAAACATTATAATACGAAAGTTATTTATATTCATTCCTCTATCATTTTCTCAGCAAGTAGTGCTTGCCGTAGCTGATTCGTTTGTATTATGTTATGAACATATCGTTAACATTTCTCAGACATCGATTAGGAATTAATACGATAGGTTCTATTAAAAAATGAGTTTTCAGAATCTTTATAAAATTTTCCTAGTACCAAACTGTACATAAAGCTGCCTATCCTTTATTAGCACTTGTAAATTATCCATTAGAGTCTGTTGGTTAAGTTCAAGTCTCGGTCCGACTCTAAAAGTAATAACCAATTATTATAAGATCATCAAAAATGTTAGACTTTGAAGTGATTACCAAACTCAAACGAATAAATTCCATTAAAATTAAAAAATGAGGATAAATACCTCTCTAGCTTAGCAGGGAAAATGATGATTGCATCTACACATGATTAATTCACATTGTAGGCAGATAGTCGAAAATAAAAGTCTTCAAAGATTCGTTTTCTATTTATTTACAGACATACACATGAATATCTACTCAAATCTGTAAATGAAGTACACACCAGATATGTTCATAGGATAATATTATCATACGCTATCCTACTTCATTAGATCGGACAGGACAGAATATCTTGCCAAACCGACACAAGATACATTTGTTGAATCACTATTAAGATCATCAGAATCCGATGATATAGGAATTCATAAATTAGCCTAAACTATTCTGGTACAGACTAGTTTTCTGACTATTAATGACTAAACTCTTCAATAAAATATTTATATGAGTTTTTTTTTTTTTGTTTTAGTACGAATGTCTAAAGCATGCGATTGTGGCTTCTTATTGGTTTTTTAATGTAAATAGACAATAGTCATATGTCTTTTACTTGTCCGTTTTGTTTTCTTTTTTTTTTTTTATCGTATAACGAACCTTATTAGTTTTGTTCTTCTCTGTTGTTTGCTCATGGTTGGTTTTTTCTTGGCGTTTTTTTTTCTTCTTCTCAATTACATATACACACAATGTTTTCTTTGTGTTGTTTTTTTTTTCTTTTCGTCGAATTTTACTATTGTCGATGTTCATTTTGTTTGTTCGAACAAAAAAAAAGAATTTGTTTTTTTTCGAAACAACAGAAAAAAAATAACAAAGAACTCAGACGATAAAGAAATTATATTTTATTTTCTATTTTTTATTACTTGTCGTGGAATTAATGAATTAATCTGAAATGATAATAAGTATAAACAAAAAAGAATGAAAAATTATTCTATTTTCTTTTTCTTTCCTTTTCTTACTTTGACAGCTGAGATGAATTGTGGACGTGGTGGAATTGGACGACCACGTTTATTACCAAATTGAAATGAAAAAGAATTGTTTTCAGGTGATTTCGTTTTTGTTGGTTGAGCCATTGTTCGAAGAATATCATCAAGATCATTTGACGAAGGTGGAATTTCTTGTTCGTTAGATCGTTTTCTTTTTAATGTTGGAGATGATTTAACAAGAAGCCATTCATTTTGTGCATCGATTTCTAAACGAAAACTAAAAAAACCGAGATCTATTTATGTAAATGATAATAATAATTAAATCTTTACTCGATTTCATCATTATCACGAAGTATTAGATTTGCTTGAGTATTTGGTGGTAAAATACAATCATTAACAAATGCTTTAAGATATTTTAATTTTGTTGAACGTTTTGATAAATGAAATTGATAATAATTAGCAAGAGATTTTTGTTGTTCATTAAAATATTCAATTAAATCATTTATTGTTTTTATATTTGTTGTACAATCAATAATTGTCCAAAATTGATTATGATCATTTGGTAACCATGATGCATGAAAACGTAATCGAAGCATTCTCATAGATTTTATGTTGAATTCATCTTATCGATTCATTTTTTCTTGTATATAACCAAATGAATTTATATCAGTTAACCAGTCATTATTCGATATTTAATAGATGTCACACTTGTTCATGTAAAACTGAAATAAAGTTGATTGTCGAAAATTGAAACGTAAAATTTAGGTTAAAATAATGATTTGTTGAATTGTTTCTTCTGAAACGAATTTTTATTATTGATTATCGTACTTTTATGATTGCTAGAGAATACTATAATAAGCTTTTCAATTTTATATATTTGACATTGATGGCAACGGATTTATATAGGTAAGTAACATTTTTAATGTCTATCACATACTCTAATCACTAAGTCAAGAAGTAGTATTCTAGAGAGTGTGATTGTGTCTTGAAAATTAAACTATCACTCTCTAGATTTAGATTCAGCCACGAGTCTCATCGTGTGGTATAGTTTAATACTAAATAAATCTTGATTTGTTATTATTGCTTATTCTATAATGAGTATTTTTTTTATTATTGTGTCTTACAGTAGTTGCAAAAAGTACATGAATATTAGTCTTTTTGTTTCATAGTTTGACCACAAAAAGAGTATGTTGAACTCTGATTGAAAGAACTAATCAGAATTTGATCAGTCTTCATGCGGATGAGCTAAATTGTAGGAGTTAAGTGATTCATGGGAATTGAAATCACAACGAATTTATGTTCATGTCGTTTTTGTGCCGATATGATTAAGTGAAATCGGAAAGAATCATCGATGACATGACTTGTGTGCTAAATCTCTGTTGATGAACGTATTATTCGAAATGAAAAAGTCGTCAAGAATGACCATGCAGCACCACCAGCTTGTTATTTTAATCCAAACTATGAAGGCTTGAATTTTCTGAATAGCTACAGAGTCTAAAGCAGTCCCGGTTATGGTTTAAATTTTTATTATAGATGACACTGCAAACATTTTTCTAAGTAAAATATATTTTGAAACTATTTTTTTTCTCGATTAATTTGTATTTTCTCTAAAAAAAACTTCGATTTTGGCTAGGAAACGTTTTCTGTAATCGTTTATAACTAGAAGCGAAAGCTGTAGGCGCTACTGGTGGTTATGTGAAATACCTTCACAGACGTTTTCTGGTAACTCCAAAAACAATATTCTTGCTTATGATTAGAAGACAAATTTTTCTGTTTAAAGCTATAGACTGAAAAAGGTAGACTATTATTTGCCGAAAGATTGATGAATAGAAAGACGAAGAACTAATACAACGATGGCAAATATTGATGGAGTTTATATATTCATAGTAAACAAATCAACAAAAGCATTTGACTTATGACAACAAAATTATTCGATGACGATAGTCATCATGACACAAATGAATAATCAAAAAAGAAAACCTTGACTTAACCAATCTACAATGTCTTCATAATATTACTTGTTAGGAAATAAAATATTAGCAAATTATATCGTAATGAATTTTTTCCCACTAGTTAGGTAATAAACATCATGACTAATATGTATTTTTCTTTCTGCATCTCACAAGCTGGTGAAATTTTTTGTTATTACACAATATTTCTCCAATATATATATAGGATATTGTTCTTTGGTGGTTTTTATTCGTCTTTTCTTCAGACACAATGGCTTGTTTAGCTCACAATCCACACTATCGCTCTTTCTTTCATGCTGTTGTTAATGAACTTCGAAATGAAAAGTGCATGCCTGTATCTATATTACGAAATATACCTCGTCAATGTTGTACCTGTAACAACCTTGACAACGAAACATTAATAAATGTTCTTATTGATGACAAAGATAAATTAATAAATTTAAAGAAACTTATTGATCAAATAGATCGAGATAAAAAAACCAATCCCAAACTTGTTTTATCACTAAATCGATTAGAAAATATTATTAAAAAATATCGAATTTTAGATTCAAATTTATTATCAACATCAACAGTTGATAATCATGTTAGTAAACTTCATGATGATTCATCCGAATCTGAAGACGATCATCGAATGGATATTGGTCGAAGACGCATCATATCCAGAAAAAGAACTAAATCACCAAAACCACTTAAAAATGGAGAATTTCTATTTTTACCATATAAATTCGATAATAAACCAAAACTTAGATTACCACTAGATTCTGCGAAAAAAAAACAACGTGGTCGATTTATTGGTAGAAATGGTTATATATCATCATTAGAAAAAGATCATCATGTTTGTATTAATATGATAACATCTAAAACGACTGAACAAATTAAAAAAACACTTGAAAATGCGAAAGCAGGAGTAGGAAATGTAAAAATTCATAATCAAAAAGATCTATCCGAACAACAAGATGGTGAATGGATATTAGTTCGACAAAAAAAAGATGAAAAACAAGCAAATACAATTGATTTTGAAACATTACTAGATGAATTAACAAATCGATGGGAAAGTTTTCTTACGATACAAAAACGCAAACGTGAAGATGAAAATGAAGAGTATCCAAACAAAAAATAAACTTGTAATTTTATATTTTTTATATTAGAAAGAAAAAAAAACTGTTTTTTGTATCTTCATTCAATCTTTTCGATTTCGTATTGATTAATAAAAATATTTGAATTTTCAATATGAAAGTTTTGATCACATAGGTTTTAATGACTTGTATGATTATTTGTCTATGAGTGAACCTATTTTTATTGAATGTAAAATGACAATCATGAAAGATTCAGATTTTTTGAGGACGTTAGGTTCATAATTTAACATTCTTCATTCTTTTATAATTTAACATCTGTTTTTGTTTTAGTTTTAAATGTGTTTGTGGAAGAAGCTTTTATTTAACTAATTAGTATTGACTTGAAATATTAGTTAAATCATTACAACGATATAAATTTTTATCTAACATTCAACATTATCAGTACTTTCGTAAAGAAAGAAAGAAGAATTATTGATTTTTTACTATGTTAGAATCATAATTCGTGAGCTCATATTCAGTGTTTTCTCATAGAAAACAATGAATATCGTTATGAACTGTTTTTTTTCTTTATCTATCATCTTAGTGTCGAATATTCATATTCAATAGTGTTTCTCTAAAACTGATCAACACAATGTCAGTGATTAGGTTTCTGATATGTATATATGCTGACTAGTAAATAAACTTGATCCCGCAAAAGTCTAATCTTGATGCACAGCAACTCCGAAGTGCATAGAACTTATGCATGTATATTATTAGGAAAATAATACGGTAATGAAATGAGAAGATTGTTTTTATTAGTGTGTCGACCGTCTAGAAGAAAATTCTTAATAGTATTTGTTAGGATTAATAATCATCTGTCATATTTGACATAAGCCATAACCATACCTTTCTTTATATTTATTGATTTTCCCTTCTTTTATTCTTTTCTTTTCTCTGTTGGCTTTCTCTATTGATACAACAGCTGTCACTTGCCTAACAAAGTCATCATTTCTCTATTATAGTTGAAATAATAGAGTTGTCTTTTGTTATGTAAAATGCCATGAAGAAATTTTTAATGCTTTTCCATTATTTATAACTCATTGAAATCAAATTCTTATATCAAGTAAAAAAAAAAAAAGAAATTCCTATATTGGAAAATAACCAACTGAAATCTATTCACATTGCTTTTTCTAAGTAAAAATGCAATACGATTTACAATAATCATTTGCAAAGATGCTGAATTTCAACGAAATGTCAAGTATTGTTGACATATTAAAATTAGCTTTATCATATTACAACAAAAACCAGCTAGTTTATTCTGCAAGTAAAGCAAATTTAAGTATTCTAAAGAAAATTTATCTAAAAAACAAAAATGAAAATTTGAACATAGTTTCTCTCTAATTGATTTGCAATTCTTCACCTACTGATTGAGTCATTGATCAAGATTCAGATATTTTTAGGATCAACTCGGATTTAATAAAATTTGATAGACAATAATCTCGTCTAATTCATTATGGCTGCATGGTATAGTTAATCACGGGTCAGAAATCGTCAGTGTCTTTGCTCTATTATTACTGCTCGATTGCCAAATTAAAATGCAATGTCCATAAAAAATTTCCGTCATCGCTCTGTCTATTCGTAAGTGCTCTTAATCTGTCTATGCCAGGCTGTTTTGCTTTAGTGTTCGAAGTTGATTATTAATGCAGTACGAAGCGCAATATTTATGTAGTTCTTTGCGAGTTTTCTTTTTCTTTCTTTCTTTTTCCTCGGCGTACGCATCGAAACTTTCTATTTTCTGTAACGATGAGCTCGAGAAGAGAAAAAAAAATCAGAGAACACTCATCCAAACGCAAAGATAGTTTTTTATGATCAAATCAACACCATCTGTTTTCTTTTCTACAGAAACTCGTCGAGAAGCGTAAATTTTGTTTTTTTTTCTGTACGTTTTCAGATAATTAAAGTGAAGATAGCTTTGAATACAACAACTGGTGATAAATAATTAGATAGAGACAGAATCAAACAAGTTTTAGTCAAAATCAACATGTTTTTAAGACAGTTAATATTCCATTGATAAAAAACCATATACGCATCGCTAGAACTGGTAGTTGTAATGAAGAAAAAAAAAAGATAAAAAATATATCCAGCACAGAGATGACGCTAGTTAATGATTCTAACAGAATAAAGAAAATAAAAATGGGCAAAACAAATGATAATATAACTATGTTCTAAGCTATATCGAATATGTTTATGAAAAAATCTTTTTAATTGAGACAGTTATACAATGACTTGAACAAGTGCATGAGTGAATTTGGTATAGAAAGTATAAGATAAAAACAATTATTATTCACATGAGCTGTGAGACCAAGTATCCAGCGGAAGAAAAGAGGAAATAAAATAGTTGGATTGAGGTAAAATGAGGATAAGGGTATTTATTGGTTCATTACTCCTATATAAAATAAGCCAGTGACATACAATTCTTTGGCTTACGTATTTAGTTGACTGTGTTTAACAATAGATTGTTGCCTAGATTCAAATTTTTCTTTTTCTTTTTTGTCAATCAACGCATTCAATTCACATCGACAAAAACTATTTACAACAAGAATAAATTGAACGAAGGAGAGACATTAAGAAAATTTTCATATTTCTAGATTATTAGAAAATTCAATTATGACGGATGAACAACATAACGCTATGGGTCCTGTTATGGTTAGTTGATCAGTAGAATACATTAATTTTTTTTGCGCACGAAAAAATCCTACTTTTTTTGTTTTTATTATAGGATGCTACGTCTGAAACTCAAAAACTAAGGTTCATAATATTTTCCATAAAATCTACTGATATTATTTTGTTTAAATAGTGAACAGCCAGAAGTTATATTCTCAGCTATTGATGCACTCTATAGAAAACATAAAGAGCATAAAGTGCATTGTTTTACAGAAGAACATCGAGAAAAACATATTGCTAATTGGAAGTAAGTTTTATCTTTATTGAATCAATAAATATTCATTTAAATATTCAGAGTAACAAAATACGCTGAAGAAAAAGTTGCTTATGGTACTAATTATTTCTTAAAAGTATTTATTGGCGATGGTTTATATCTTCATATGCGTGTTCATCATCATCCAAATCAAGATAAATACGATTTTTATGCATTACATGAAACCATTAAACATAATGTTGCTACATGTGTTTTCACAGAAGGTAAAAAACAAATATTTTTCTATAATCAATCAGTTAAATCTAATTTTTGTCATTTAGATGATCCATTAAGTTATTTCAATTATTAACATAAAAAAAAACAAGAAGAAAACATGATCGTTTTTTTTTTGGTTTGAATTCAATACACATTTGTTTTTCTATTTTAAAGACATGATCGTTTTGATAAAGTTTGCTGCTCTTATCTTATATCATTTATGTATCGGTATTTTGTGTTTGGAATTTACATTAGATTTTTGTATTTGATAATAAAAAATTATTTATATATATTCCTAATTCTGAATAGGAAATAATGTATGCTGTAAAAGTTCTTGAATAAAAGTCAAACTCAACTATATGGAAACAGGCGATGATAGGAAACTCATTCTTTTTTTTCTTACATAGAGTGTAGTTTCTAAATTAAAAAGAGATGCTTCGTCGACTGCTAAAAGCAGATATGTACTTTTAAACGAACATAATGTCTAGAATGTGTATGTATTGGCTTAAATTTTACTTTGAAGAACTGTTTCTATATATTTTTGTAGTCTTAGAAATAGTTCTCATGATTCATGAAAAGGAGATTGATATTAAAATTTTCAAAAATATCTATTCTGACCGAAACAAATAATAAAACTTATTTCAATTATTAACATCGAAAAAAAAACGAAACTATGATCGTTTTTGCTTTGTATTAAATTTAATTTTTTATTTTAAAGACATAATTGCTTAGATAAAATTTATTATTCTTATCTTATATCGTTTGCATGTGGGTATATTGTGCTCCGAATTTACATTAGTTTGTTTTACTTGATAATTATAGTCAATTTATATACTCTATTAACTCTGAATAGGAAATAATTATGAAGAAAGTCTTTTGTTATTCAGTAAATAAGAACATAGCACAATTTCATGACTATTTGACTCTCAAGAGATCTAAAAAGAACGAACAATTGTTATAATAGTAATTTAATGTGGTGTCGCCTTTGAATATTAAAATAATTACAAAGTAGAATAAACTTTTTCTTGATATGGCTCTTGTTGATAAATCATTATCTGAAACTTTATTTCTACTTGAAGTTACTGAGAAATTTTTGTCTATTCGGAGAATTCTTCAGGCAATCGTTAGACATTTCGATACTTTTGTTTTACATTATTCTGAAAATTACCTATTACCAGACACATAAGCAAGTCAAGTCATTAGTTATTATCAAAGCTGTCAACTCAAGTCTTATCAAAACTCAATTTAAATTAATTATTTTTGCAAATGTTCTATTTTTAATGAAAAGATTAAAATCCCAACGCATTTATTATTTGTAAAAGAAAAATGAGTTTATAACAAGATTTCATAATAGTGCAAAAAAAGGAAATGAATCTGTGCATCAATATCTTGATTAAAGCTTACAAGCAAAATGAAGAAAAAACTGCACATCATTTGGAGATACGATGCCTAAAACGATTTGAAAAAAAGTAATTTACTTATTTCAAAGTCTTTTAGTGTTATTTTATCTTTAATTCAGTTTATATGAATATGTACTATTTATTTTTCTCTAAATTTTAAATTAGGGGTAAAAAATAAAACTTTATCGAGACCGAAACCCGAGACTATATGATGTCTTTAACTCTGCGACTCTTAAAAATGAAGCTTTTTGCACATCATGAATCAATTTATTATTTTCATGCTAACCTCTTGTAATACAAACATTCGCAAGAGTGCTTTTCTTCAGTTTAAATTATTTACTTTTTTTATTCTAGAGATCATTTCAACGGTGAAATTCAATATTGTGGGCAACTCTGGACAATTATACATGAACCGTACAAGATCATATAATAGGGATTCTTGAGAGTGTGGGTCCTCTCTCCATCCTTATCTAAACCTATACATCACATCCCAGTACTACAGAATGTACCAATTACTTAATGAGGTCAATTTAAACTCGAGTCGAAATTTCGGTCTCCCATGAAATTAAATTAAAAAAACGACATCATTCCATTAACAGTTCATACGAGATCATTACCCATGTGAAGATGTAAGCGGTAAAGCTAGCTTAAAATAGCTTCGAACATATTTAAGCGCTTATCAGCGATTTAAAAAATAGTAAAAACTCCTCTAAGTCGATTATAGCAGCTGAAAAAGTCAAGTTCCAAGTCCATATCAACTATTTTGAACGCATCTATTGGACAGCAGCTGGTAAGCACTTAAGTATAACGAAATTATAAAGTGCTTTTCAGCTACATGGAAGTTAAGCGGCTGCAAGGCACTGAATCTCGTTACATTTAAGCGCTAATCAGCTGCTATAAGCCACTTGAAAGAGCTTTTACTATTGTTTTAATCACTCATAAGCGTTTTCTAAGCGAAAATATAAGCCGCTTATAACTAGCTTACAATGGAAAAAATTTTCACATGGGTACTGATTTCTTCACAACTAATTTCCATTATCTTCAGTTGACGGCAAGTTCTCATTGTATTATTGCATTTCATTTTGTTTTCCTATTTCTTTACACACTCGAGAGAGATTAATCTACCGATTTGTGAAGCGAATTTACTGTTTTTAGACGATGTATTTGAGAGCAACACAGCAAGAAAACATTTCATTGTAGGACGAAGCATCGAAACCAATTGATACAGACGTTATTTTTCGCTTGTATTTGAGATAAGGATGAATAACAATGCTCATGCTGTGAAGGTTACTTTAGGCATCTTATTGTTTCCAAACATTATAGTCAAAATGAATATACGATAATTATTAAAAGCAAAATTCAACAATTTTTGACTTTTTCTTTATTTTTTCTTGTATGACACAATATGATGATACATTTCTTCACTGTTATCAGTCTATTAAAATTTTGGAACAAGCTATAAAGATTTTGTTTTGTGATCTTAAAACAGAGTTACATGCAAAACATCAAACGTCGCGAAACCTTTGTCATATCCGGTATATATATATAGGTTTAGAAGTCCTAATGATCAAAAGAACTTCTCGATATAGTTTTACAAAAAGGTATACACCATGCATTTCAGCTAGAATATTGTTTAATATGCATACATGCACCAGTCGTAATATTTATAATTAGAAAAATTATTAGTACTTGACTTTGTTTTTTTTTACAGCCATGCTGTTGTGTACGGAGAGATAAGAACTTATTTCACAGCTCATCAGATGGCTTTCTTACTGGACCAGAGAGAGTCAACATCTTGTTATCATGAAAGCAGTGTAGTACTCGAAGAGGCCTAGTATCTCCGTATGATCCCTGCCGTCGTTATGTATGTCACAGCTACGTTCATTGCTTTATCAGTTAGGCGTGTGTTCTTGCAGATTCACAGGAGTCTTCCTGGTCGCAAACACAATAGAGAGCTAAGAAAAGCTGGAAAGCGCAAGTAGCAATCAGAACCAATTTATTAAGCAAGCAAGGAAAGAAATATTACAGTTTCTTTTTTACGTAATCAATATTATCCATCGTTGGTTTAACTGCAGGATGTGATGGGGAAAGTGCTTTTTGTTGAATAGTAAGTGTCTTTTCAAGAAATGGAAGGGCTTTCGAATAGTCGCCCATGTTGTTGTAGGAAGCAGCCAAATCAGAATGATCTTCCAAGAGAGTTTTTTACTTGATTTCGAGGGATTGTTCGTAAAATGAAACAGCTTCTTTGTATTGTCCTTGGTCGTCTTTCAACCAGCCAAGCTGGTCGTAGATATGTGCTTTATCACTTTCGCTTGATGTCTGTCCTAGTAGTAAGGTATATAATTCTTCGGCTTTGTTAAATTAACCTAGTTTGAGTAGCAATTTACCTGATCGCGTCCAACCTGTTCCACCTGCAGCTTCATCTTGTATTCGATCGGCTAGTCGACGGAGCTGTTGGTCGTCATCCGATGTAAGTTTAAGGTCTACTTGATAAAGTGGACGATTGTTGTCAAGTTTTCGAATGTCATCGGTTCGAAAAATGGTATGCATGGAGAAGAGAATTTCATCTTCTTCTTTGTAATAACTCACTCCCCGGATGAAGGCAAACGGAGTTGATGATATGGTGGGATCTATAGTAATTGGAAAAAGTATACCCACCATACCAGTTATTCCCAAGACCTCTTTGGCAAAGTCAAGTGAGACATTTCAATTTTTACTGGTGGATAAAAATTTATTGAAAGATTTAAGTCCGCCTTTATTTTTCGCAAGTTTTTCGAAATCGACTGTTGTTAATCCTTGTCCCTGAAAAACTTTAAAACTTCTTGATGGATAAAGAGTGACCTGTTTCTTGTGTAAACTTTCGATTTACCGGTGCACATCACAAAGAAAGAAACCCATTCTTATAATGACGTTGCCGTCGAGTATTCGTGGATGTGTGGAGTGTAGGTGTGGGTGTAGGTGTGGATGTGTGTGGGTGTGGGTGTGGATGTGGGTGGGTGTGGGTGTGGGTGGGTGTGGGTGTGGGTGGCGGTGTTCCTTAAGGTTGGACCCAAAGACCGACAGCGATATTCACATCCACCCACAACCTTTCAGCCACACCTACACCCTTCTCTCCTCGACTCACTTAGAAAATATAATTTATCTTACATGTTGAAAGTTTTGATGCATACACGTGACGATATCGTATCACATGAAATGATGAATAGCTTTGTTTATTATACTGTTGTTATTTTTATCGAGAAGAAAAGTTAAAAGTAAGATACAAATATGACAAGGTAAAAAGTATTCTTCAAGTAAAATGGTTGATACACCGCGCCTAAATCTTTCCAACTTACTTGGAATGAACCTGAAGGAGATTAATGGCTTGCAGAAACGCATTCAAAAGATATTGCAAGACAAAAACAGTGATGATGACGACGAGAATGAAGATGCCAATTTCATTGAAAGCAAGATGAAGCAGTTAACAGGTCATGGCTATGACTCGCTCAAATTGATAGACCGAACGAAACGTATTGCATTTTGGAACGAGTTGAATGGGCAACTACAACGTCTTCCAAGACGCTGTCGAACAGCAGAAATTGAATCTCAGATGACTATTTTACAGAGAGTTTGTTATTTTGACTTCACTCAAAAACCACTCTCGTTTGTAATCGAAGGAATACATTACATGAACACAATAACTGAATGTGAAAAAGGATTACTTGAATTAATTGACAAATTGCGAAACCAATATGGTTTAATCAATGTTTTAAATGCCCAATATGAAACAATACGTAATCAACGGCGTAAAATTGTTCTTGTTGTTGCTGGTAGTTTGAAAGCAGGCAAGAATAGTTTCATCAATTATCTTCTTGAATCAGACGTATGTCCTGCAGGAATCTACGAAACAACTGCTCGATTAACGAAAATTACACATGATCTACAAACATTAGTTAAACTTGAATCGCTTACTGGTGAATTAAAAGAACAGTACGAAATACATAGTAATGAACAACTGAAAGAAATTACTGACAATCTCATTGCTCTCAAAGGAGCTGCTCGTGAAGAAGATGTATGCACAGACATTGCCACCATTCAGTTGGATCGTAAGGAATTAGAAAATATTGAACTCTGGGATATTCCGGGCTATGACGAAAACCCATTGCTGAATTCAATTGTTGAAGATATTCTAAAAGAAACGAGTATTTTTTTCATTTTAACATCGATCGCGGGAGGTATTCGTGACACCATTGTGAATCTTATTCGATCTTGTTGGAAAAAGTATACAGATCGACCAAAAGTTTGCTTTATTGTAACAAAAATCAATCAGGTGACGATGAACCCAAAGGCAGAAACAACTTTAGATAACGCGCTCGATCATGTATTTCGTCGAATTCAAAATCAATTTCAAATAGAACTCGGTGACGAGTGGAAATCTTCACACTTTTCATTCCATTATGTACGGATTCGAAATACAATTTGAAGGATTTTCTTGACTCTCATGAACAATTCACTCACAAATTAAATCAGTTCTTTACGCATGCGGTACGTAATTATACAGCTGATCGCCTGAAAAATCTGATAGATACGATTCACGAGTCACTTGATTATGATGATATTAATCGAAGTATTCAACGAGATGAGAAACTATCAAACATGTTGACTGTACATCTCTCCGAGTTACACAATCAGCTGAACCAAGAACTAAAAGAATTATTTGTACAAATTCATCGAGTTGTTGCGAATAATATTTCTCCTGTTATACAACTTAAAAACGATGATGTGACGCGACAAGCACTCATCTACGAGATTGAGAAGAAATTATCAGAGAGCCGTGGCGAAATTGACCAAGGTGTTTCAAAGTGTCTAAATAAACTTTATTTAGAGTTGGAGAAAAATCCAGAGTTAACAGCGATTGTCCGATCATCGGGAAAACGTAGACTCTATGGCGATCCTTATCAAGCCGTTGTCGGTCAGTGTAGGAATGGAGAAAATAGCTTGCTCTGTTCTGCTGAAATTTATCATAACACGTCTTTAAGAAATATTTTTAAATGTCTTCTTAAAATCGGTCGAACCACCTACCCGAGTCGCCATCTTGTAGGGAATATTTTTCCAATTATCAGTGGCATCATCGGTTTTCTACTGTGTAAGGCTGAATGCTTTTCACCAAGGGAGATAGGTAAAGAAGTACGGCTCGAGCGTCAAAGGTTAACAAATCAAGCAGAAACATATGCAGAGTCAAACGCTGAAACAATTCTCAAAGGACTCGGAGAAGATATATGTAATCATATTCGTCAAACACTTTGCGAGCAACAGAATAATATCAACGAAGACATAAGGAGAATAAAAGCGAGATTGATTCAACAAAAAGATTCTAGTCAAGTACAGCATATTGCTCAATTTCTCAAAGACAACACTTTATCCATCGTTCAACTTTATTTAAATCTTCTTGATAAGACGAATCGTGTTGAATATCCTCATTGTGAAATTAATCTTGGAACAGAGTTGGGTCGTAGTAATTTTCCTGTATTCGCTGGTGAACTTAGCGATACTGATCGAACATGTTCAGAAAAGATTGCATTCGAACGTGTTCCACTCAACAGTTTTATTTGGTAAGAAGTGCGTTACAAGAATGAAATCAAGCATAAAAATATTCTTCGTTATTACGGCGTTCGTAAAAGTGAACACCAGGAGGATCAATATGACATTCTTATGCAACGTTTCGATTCAGATCTCACCAAGTATATTGATTATGCATCTCAAAAAGGAAAGGTTAATGATAAATTCATGGATGATATTTTTATACAGATCACTAATGGACTTAAGTATTTACATGAAAAAGGTTTCATTCATCGCGACATCAAGCCAGAAAATATTCTTGTTCAACTTAAAAAAGAGGAACCTCCTCTCTTTGTTTTAGCTGATTTCGGTTTCGTTCATCGAGTATCAATGTCTATCAAGGGTACACCAGGTTTTTTGGCTCCAGAACTTGCGAATAACACAGACAATACCTTTATAACAGCGAAAATAGACATTTTTGCTCTTGGTGCTACCATCCAACAAATTTTAGACAAATCTGGAATGGATACAAATGTCGGATGTGTACAATTTTGGACTCAAATCAGTCAATGTTGTCTACTAAACAATCCATGCCAACGGCCAACATGCCAGAAGATTCTGGAAGAGCATAGCCACCTAATAAACTAAATGACTATACTATGCGGGCATGTTGTTCACTTCATTTTTTATTCATCACATAAACTGTAATTTTGTTTGATGCGTTAACATTTGGAGAAGAGTGTGGGTGTGGGTGTCGGTGCTCCTTACGGTAAGACCAAAGGCCGACACCCGCACCCACACACACCCACACCCAATGGGGGAAAATGCGCATTTCTAAGTATTTTTGTATTTCAGAAATACCTCGAAATACGTAGAATTCTTAGAAATACCTGGAAATACGGAAATACAGAAACCCGCTTTTCCCCCTTGCCCATACCTCACCCACACCCACACCCACACCCACACCCCACACCCCAATTTTCAGATATAAAACTTGAATTCGGACAGGGTGCGGATGTGAGGTGTTAGGTGTGGGTGTGGGAAATCCTAAAGGGTGAGTAGAAAGTTTCGACCCTCTTTGTAAATTGATGTTATTCGTACCAAATATATACATAATACAAGATCGAAATATACAGTTTTGCAGAGTATGATTCGGACTATTATCTGAAAAAAATGCTTGAAATTGTATAGACGTAATGAAAAGTTATGGTCATTCTACTAACCACGACTAAGCATTTTCATCTTACATTTTTTGAAAAAACAAAAATATTCATGTAATGTATGAGTCATTAAAGTCCAGCAAAATATGGTTTCTTAGATATTTTCACTAGATATTTTTATATGCTTCGATAGAGTTTGACAAGCTTTACAAGAATATAAATATCAAAAAAATTCTGATCCTGCTTTCAATACAAAACTTGAAGGAAACCAGAAAGACAAATAAAAATGTCACATATGGGTGTGGGTATGGAAAAAGAGAAGAGTCACACCCAAGTAATTCATTGATTTTAAGTGAGGACTATATGATGCATATAGTTTCTAATGAGCTATGAATATTTTGAAAAGAGTTCGAACTCATAGCTTATTGCTGGCAACATATTGCATTTTTACGGTATTTTTTAAGAGGATGCCATAATCGAACTCAGAAACACAAAACAAAATTTATTTTCGAATTTCACCTTGAAACTTTTTACAAAGTCAGACTTAATGAGAGTTGTTTATTATAAAAGTTTTAGATATTTTCGTTGTTTTTATTCTAAGAGATGGCTATGGTTGTTCACCCTACATATACCAACAGATTCTTATGTTATTATTTCAGATTAAGAGTACTTGAAAAAGCTGAAAGTTTTACAATAAATCACTCTTACTAAAGTCTATCTGTATGCAAAGTTTCGAATCGAAATTCAAAAATAGTTTTTCTGATGTTCTTGGAGGAGCGGATCACGGCATTGTTTTAAAAAAATACATAAAAATACAATATCTTGTCAGTAATAAGCTATGAGCCCGAACTCATTTTAGGTTATTCATAGCTCATTAGGGACTAAATGATGCACACAGTTCCGATTTGAAATCAATGGGTCACTTGGGGACCTTCTTTCATCCGTATTACGATCATATATTAGCTTTTATCTACTTCAATCAATCATTTGGCTAGGTTATATGCAGATGATAAACAATTTGTTATTCTATGATTCAATACTAATCTGTGGAAGTCTACATATATCTGAACTAAATTTAGTCTTTTGTCTGTTGGTGAAGATAAAGTTCTATAGTCTTACTGAATTTTGTGGCACTAGAAAAGCTTTAGATGGTATTTAAAACTAAACTGTTTGTTCATGTACTCAGTATATATTTTGTAGTAACACATTTTTAACGTTTTGATTACGAGGTTCGTATATATCCAGGCTGACACTTTTTGAAGATTATGACTTGTAATATTTTCTACCATCCTCGGGCTATACACTATTCTCTATGTCCCATACAGTTTTATGAAGTTGAATTCCATGGAATTCCATAGAGTCTCAAAACAATTGATACCTCAAGAAGTTGCGTTTGTTGCGAAGCTCTAACCTGATAGAAGACAGCATGTTCAATTTTATTATTATTAGATTGGGGTCATCAAATTAACTATTTATCGAAATAGACCACAAATTTCATACCCATGTTAATACTAAACGCAAAATACACAAGTTCAACCGCAATTTTATAAATCGTGTGCAAACGCAGCACAATTGGTACAAAAAGTATTTATATGGGCGATGCTGAACCCAAATCAAAATCATCAAAATCTGATCTAAAAGAATCTAACAATTGTGTTTTAACGACTAGTGTTGTTCTAGATTGATTTTCATTTGAATTTGTTGTATCTTTAGTTGCCGATGGTAATATATCATCTCAATCATAATCAAAATCTTCATAATATTGTGCATGAATTCTTTTATGAATTTCCATTGAATAAGCAGATAGAATATATTGATTACAAACTTTACTTGCACATTTTTTAAATTTTTTTAAACTAATGAACAACAGTAATCAAATGGTACCATTTCATTCTAAGGACAAAATTATTTTCGCTTTAAATATTAAACAAAAAGAATTTTCTTATTTGTGTGTACTGAATAAAAATACGACGAAATTAGATATATTGAGATAATAAACCCTAAAATTGTCTTTTGCATTAATTTTGTTTTCTGCTATCCGAAGAACATTTACTGTACGTTCAAATGGTACTTGTGACGATGAAAATCTATGTGGAAATATTTCAATATAATTTGAATTTCATGGCTCACAATATTGAACTGAATTACAACAAACTATTTGTGATGCATTGTGTTGTTGTAAAACATGCATAATATACCAATATTAATTCATTGCTTTTGAAACGATATTTCACTCATTAAATAGGGTCTAATAAGACTAGAAAGATGCTAAGAACATTTTGATCTACGAGTGAACATTCATGAAAGAGCGTATAAAATTATATTTTTGAGGAAATATCGAAATGTTCTTTATGGAAAAAATGCAGACTTTGACCCTTATTGCTTCGAAAGATTGTAAAAAAATGACGTGCTTTCTTCTGTCACCTGTATTAAAATGCAATAGACGATCATAAATTTATTTGTTCTTCCAAAATCTTTGCAAAGTATTTGGTTTAGATAGGAAAATATCTAGTTCATAAGTGACTTAAGACTTAACCTTATATCGCAAACTCTTTTATTTATCCTACTGATATTATTATATTATTTCTAGAGTGGCGTATTCTGTTGAAACATATTATGAAAAACACACTTTGTTAGATTTTTGCTTTTTTCAAAATTATTCTTTTAAGATAAAATATGATATTATTTACTATCTACTTTTATTCAGAAAAAAAAACGAAAGATGTCGTTCGATTATTGATTAATCAAACTCTATACGCTAAAGATATTACTGGTATCTTAACCAATAGTACACATTGACGATGTAAATAAATCAAGAAAGAATGAACCGTTTTCTAAAAAATATTGTTCAGCTCGTCGCTTGTTAACACATACTGTGTTAATGTGTAAATCAAAGAAGTCCGTATGTATTAAAGTTAGTATAACTTATGTGACATGTTTCGAATAACTAACATTGCGGCTGAGTATTTAGGAGAATAAGGAATTTTGAACATTAATAATATAAATTGATTATGTGAAATAATCTTGAAAAAAAATATTTAGAAAATGATACTTTTTTTCTATTGTATGTAAGGCTAATACTGATTGTTTTTCTCCATCTTAGGACTTACTGAACTATAGTGTGATAGATATTTTTCTGATCTATGTTTACTCTTTCTCTTTGTAATAGTACAATCAAATCACTTTCTTTTTTCTTATTGTTGTTTTCAACATCATTACAAAAAAACGCATCTTAAGCTTTTATTCAAAATTATGGAACTTTGTCTAGACCCGTAAAAAAGAAGAAGTTGTCTTTTGGCAATTGATGTCAAAGTATAATAGCGGTGATCAAAAAAAAGAAAAAAGCCCAAGGTAGTTTTAGCTTTTGAAGTTCGCCTGACAACACATAGTACTCGATTTGAGAACGATGAAATTGATCGAAAACAATATCTTGAAACACTCATTCCTTGTGATCAATAAAAAGTAAACTCTAGTTGTTTTTTGTTAATCATTTTCAGTATCTTTACGTATTTCGTTCATAATATATTTTGTCAATCAGTTCTTCATATCGTAAAAATCATTATAGACAGTGTTTTATCCAGGATTTTTTCTCCGGAGAGGCGATTTGGAATTCCGAGGGGGTAAAAAATTATTTTCTGGAGAGCAAGCCGTGTGTTCTTAGTGCGATGATCACAAGTTTCGAGGAAGGAACTCGATTTTCCGGGTAGGGGCGTTCCACAGACACCCCTCTGGATAAGACACTGATTATAGAATATTCAAGATTTTTCACTTTTGAATGTTTTTTGAGGTTATTTGTCGTGACCTATAAATTGATTGAGTTATTTTCATTGTCAATTGAGATAAGAAAATTTTCAGATAATATGTATCCATTACGTACATCAAAACGGGAAAATGAAGTAAGCAAGATTGAGTGATTATTCATCACATCAATCTATATAAATCGCTGCATCCTATTTCTAACATTTACTAACAATGTTTTTTGTTCATACGTTTATAATAAATAACTAACATAAGTCCTACATACAAGGGGAAAACAGGGTATATGTCGAGGTTGTTTATACAAACTAGATTTGTTCTAGAACTAAATATACAGTTTTATAGAGTGACGTTCGCTCTATCGTTGGAATATTTGACTTGGAAGAAATCTAGTTTATATAAACAACCCTTTCTCTCAAAGTCGCAAAAACAAATGTATTTACGACTTTAGAAGGTGAGAGTCATTTATATAAACTAGATTTCTTCCAAGTAAAATATGCCAATCGATAGAGCGAACATCGCTCTACAAAACTGTATATTTAGTTCTAGAACAAGTCTAGTTTGTATAAACAACCTTCAACCTCAAAAGTCACAAAAACATAGGTGTTGACATAAACTAGACTTATATCGACTTTATTGATTTTTTTGATAATCTTTAAATAAAAAAAAATCTGATTCCAGTTGTTTCCTCTTGCTTACATATCAATACTAGTCTTCTTATAACATCTTTAGAATATCGCACCAGAAGAAGATGAATATGGAAATATGCAAAATCGTATTCAGGATCTTGAGGCGATCGTCGAGCAACAACAAAGTGATTTATCTTCTGTTTTATCAATACTTAATGCAAAAAATAAGCAACTTGATGAACTTCATAAACAACTGGGTGAACTTCATTTACAAGCAAAAATGATGAAACAATTTAGTAAGCCTCATTTTGTATTTTTGCTGATTATTCAACATTAAAATTTTTGTTTATGTCAGATATGGTATTGATTCTCTTGGTAGCTATATGCGTCTTTATGATGTATCATGTAATATAGGCTATTTTATTCTACAATAAAAATATCACTTTTTTTTGTATATTTAGCTTTGGATCAAATATGACATTAATTATTGAAGTTTTACTTCCTGATATTATTTTTTATATTATTAGTTTTCTTCTAATGATTTTGTTTTTATGATTTACATGCTGGTGATTTTATTGTTGGATATATTCATGTATAAACTTGATTCTTGTTATTTACTGTCAGATATTTACATGTTATTTTTATACAAGATGCTCAAATTTTGTAAATTTTGGTAACTTTCTTGTTGGATATATACATATGTATGAACTTAATTCTGGTCATTTATGTCAGATATTTACATATTATTTTTATGTAAAATGCTCAAAGTTGTGTAAATTCTGGTATTTTTTTTTGTTGGATACATACATATGTATAAACTTGGTTCTTGTCATTTACTGTTAGATGTTTACATGTTATTTTTTATTTAAAATGCCCAAAGTTGTGTAAATTCTGGTGATTTTTATTGTTGGATACATATATGTGTATTAAGTTGATTTTTCTCATTTACTGTCATATGTTTACATGTTATTGTTATATAAGACGCTCAAATTCTTGTAAATTCTGATTAATAAAATACAATTAAAGATGGTTTTTGTAGCATATCTTGATGATAACTCGATATAGACTTGAATTTAAAAAAAAAAGATCTTAGAAGACTGGAACAAATTCAACATGTCACTAATACGACATCTAATCCTTGGTCTCAGTCAAAATCAAATAATACTAATGAGAAAGTTTTTTTTCTGTACATAAATTAAGATTGAAAAACTGTTCTCTCTGTTATATTTATTGTATGGATCCGCAAGATGGTTTCACTGCAAATAAGACAGAATTTATATATAGAGAAACACGAACTAACAGGTATTTCAAGAATAATCGATCTCTTTATATTTGAATGATACCTCTTCTGGTACAAACCAAATAATAATAATAATTGGAGTAACATGGACATTTTTGTTTACAATTGGTCGATAACGACCGAAAATTTAATCTTTATCTTTATTTTTACAAACAAAAAAGAAAATACTCTATTTCTTATGTTTTCAAATAAAAAAGAAAAGAGTGGATAAACTCAAATCAAAAGTTTTTGATTTCTTCAAAGTATTTCAAATCTAGTTGCTCAACATAATTATTTACACTCTCTAGCTATTTTTTAGATCGGGTTTTGTATCTGCAGTATTTTCGATTTAGCGTAATCATCATTTTATATGTTTTTATAAAACTCGTCTCGTATAGAATCATCATTATTTTCAAATTCATATTTTATGCATGCTTGATTTATTGGGAGATGAGTTTCTTCTACTGTATTCGCTTTTATAGAACACATTTGAGTACAATTCGAAGATTGGCTCAATACTCAAAAACAAAATTTGAAAGAATTTTTTTAAACACACTCCAGATCGAATAAAACAGTGCCGTAAACGATATAAATTTATATCTTCACGTCGCTGTTTTCTGTAAGCTTATTAAACGGTGAAAATAGTAGGAAAAATGACTCGCCACCACTCTGCTCGTGAAAAAACACGGGTCTGAAGAATTACGGCGAAATATAATGAAAATTAATCCAGTAATACACCATTTCCGATGGTCGAAATGATCGTTCTGGAACAGTTCACAAGAGCTTTTAACGTAAGTTTTGAATAAATATCCTTAGTTTTTCCAAATTAGGCTTTATTCAATGAAAAATAAAGCGTAGAATTTTTTCCCGTAGCTTTTGAATCATTCATTATGTAAAAGAACCTTATGACGCATGTGAATGCGCATAAATTCTAGAATAGTGTTCTCTAACGATGAAACTACCCAAGCTGTAACTCGCCATTTGAGCTAACAAGAAGTTCTTTGTAAGACTAGAACAAGTTTAAAAAGGTTTGCGTTCATGCACATCTGGAGCCAAGTTATGACAGTTTTAATAAATGTTCGACCTGTAATTTTGTTCATAACTAGGCCTTACCACTTTTTGAATATTCTGTGAGTTTTCAAGTAAACTCGATTTTTGTAACATGTATATGGCAAATATAGTCGTTCGTTGAGTCCAACATTTTCGTATCCGAACTCTACCAGGTTCAAGTCCACGCGCTATAGTGGTAAATAACAATTTGTTGGAAATTCGAGATCTCGACAAGGGAATATTCTTTTCGGTTGAAATTTTTGGAATATTTTAAAAGTTATTAGACCAATCAATAGGCTGAGTTTCAGTTCGAAAACTTAGTTAAACGGTCATAACTCAGTTCCAGAGACCGATAGAAACAAATCATTGTAAGCCTTTTCTAGTTTTACCGTTTTACCTCCTTGTGGATTCAATATGAGTTCAAATGATGAATTACAGTTGGAATAGTTTCCTGGTAAATCGAAATCAAGATCGGGACTAAAAAAACTCGATTTCTCATATATCTAATCAAAAAACATTGAATTACTTTGTTTTATCAAGACTTACTCGAAATGGTACATTTAGTTTCGATTATATGAACTTCTCTTATACACAAATATTAATACAAAACATTTGAGCATTGATGTGTTATATTAATTTCTAAAATGTTCTTTATTATTTCATTTAGAGCTGCAAGTATATATTCATTAGCATTCAGTCCTGATTCAATGTTTTTAGCAGCATCAAGCAATACAGAAACAATTCATATATTTCGTTTAGCTAATCCAAAAGAAAAGTAAATATCATTTTGTTTATTTTCAATATTTCATAAAATAATTTTTTGTTTTGTGTTTTTTTTTAGAGCGCCTGAAGAAGCAACATGGATGGGTTATTTTAGTCGTAAATTAAGTGATGTTGCACATTATTTACCTAAACAAACATCTGAAGTATTAACACAAGATCGTTCATTTGCTTTTGTACATTTACAATCACCTGGTATGAAAACAACAATAGCTATGAATGTGTAATTATAAAACAAAGATTTATTTAATGTTCATATTTATGTTTCGATCTTTTCTTTTTTTTTCTTCTTATTGTTAGGATTAAATAAAACATTAAAATTATTTGTTGCTGGTTATGATGGTGTTGTTTGTGTCTATGAAGTGAACATAAATGATGGTGTTTTATATGNATTACTCAAAATGGCTATATTCTGAGAAACTGTGGTATAGTGGGTTTTGTAGAGCGAAGTTTGCTCTACAAAACCCTATACTTCGTTTTTCATCTAAAGTCGAAAAGTCTGAGTTAATCTCAACGGAACATTTTTGATAGCATTGATCATAAAATGAAGAAGCTCATACCCTTGATAGTTTTTAAATTTTTTCTGTTCGACCTGAAAATTATACTGAATACCTATTTTAGCAAAAGAACATGATTGACCGACATTAAGACATTTCTTGCAATCAACGATGCTGAGTGTGACATGAAGTCTTGTGACATCTCACTGTATGAGAAAATGTTAATACTGCGCTACGAACTACGTAATATGAATTCGATTATAAATATTAACTACGAATTATTGTAGAGGGCCTATTATAAGTTCGATCCAATAATTATCAGTTACTCTTGGGTATATCAGTCATTCCGATTATTGCTTTTATAAAACATTTTGGTTGATTACGAGATACTATTTGAAAGAATTCCAAGCATGCCGTATCGAAAGAAACATTGGTGTCCTCATCCGTCACATGTCAATTCAACTCGATTAGGATCAAAACCGACACATCCTGAAGGCCTGAGAATTATTAATGTGACACAAGCCGAAATATTCAATAAATAAATCGTATCTAATTCGGAATGAACGTCGGTAATTTTTAAGGCAGGTGATAAAGTATGCCAAACATGTTACAATTTCTTGCCGGATATTTCAAATGATTCATTCGATTTGGAAGAGATGGATATTGAATTTGCAGATCAAATGGCTACAGATTATATGAGAAGTGATTCGGAAAACATTGATCTTCCATCTTTTGAAGAAAAGCTGCACACAAAATAATCAGCGAAAGAAGAACTCAACGCTGTGTTTGAGCTGCTTAAAATGGAAAAAATTCTAGATAAGTAAGTTTCCTGTGATTTTCTTTTGAGAACTAATTGTTTGTTTATCATAGTCGTCGTTTCAAGAAAATCCGAGAACAAGTTGATGACGTCTACCGATATCTTCGCAAATTATGTGACATTCTGGAAAATAATAATCCTCAAGTACACGATCCTAATCCGTATTCATTTGAAGTCGACGAATCGAACAAGCTTTTACATGGCCTCAAGGAACTATTCAAAAAAAGTACTGACGAGGAGCAAATTCGTTTAATGACGATTGCTCCAGCGAACTGGGACGGCATTCACGCTTTCTCAGTGGTTCGAATCCACTGGTCATCAAGCTCGACAAGCTATCTTACTTCGTCGAGAAAAAGAAGTTCTTGCCTTTCCCGAATACTCTCGAGGAAATAAAGCTCTTGATAAAGACACAATTCAGTTAGTCGTACAATTCTATTTGCAAGACGGTATAAGTCGTATTTCCTCTTATACGAAGGATGTACTAAAGATAAAGAATGAACTTGTACCGGTTCGATTTATGAAAATGCCTATCCAAGAAGCTTTACCGAAAGTTTTACAACGATTATCCAACAGTCAAAGTTAGCAAATCAACTTTCTATTCGCTTAAGCCCCGTCAAGTCAAAATATCTTGTCCACATGAGACATGCATGTGTCAAACTCATGGAATGTGAGTCTTTTAGTACAGGTAACTCTGACTATTATTTAAAAGCATAGAACAATATATGTACTTGTTCTGTTGTGTTACAGGCATTTAATAATTATGTTTCAGAAGAAACCGCGTGCAAATAACAATTTAACCAAGATTATTGTTCCGAATTTAATCGACTTGGTTGTTTGCAATACTCCTGTCGAAGATTGCTTCTTAGGTTTTTGTGATGAATGCAATAATAGATCTCCTTCATCAATTCTTCAGCACCATTTCGATATGATTGATCAAGATGATATATGGTCATGGTCATTATGAAAGACAAACAATAAAGAAGTTGATCTTCATCAAATTCGTGGAACGATTACATCTTTACTGAACGAAATTGATGACGAATGGACGTTATTCTTATTGCATAGTTACTGCAATAGAGAACAACGCACGTGCATCAATAACATTCGACTGAGATCAAGTCATTTATCATACATCGTCGTACAGCTCGATTAGCGGAAAATTATACATTTATGAGACAAAGGGAGGTTCAAGTGGCGCATTGGAACAATCAACAATCCACGATTTTCACCATCAACATTAAAATCGGAAACGATCACAAGAACATAGCCGTCATTAGCGACTATATGCGCCATGATACAGCTTTTGTTTATTGTCCCCAACGTCTCATTGTTGATTTTCTGAAGAAATATTATACTCAGATCATCAAAATTAACTATTTGAGGTATTTTCTTACTATCGAAAAACCCAAGTAAAAACTTCTCTTTGTTTTAGTGACGGGGCGCCAGCCCATTTTAAAAATCACCTGAATATGATAAACTTAATGTATCATAAAGATGATTTTAACATAGAAGCTTGCTGGACATTCTGTGCAAGTGGGCACGGTAAAGGCCCGTGTGACGGGATCGGAGCCTCAGTGAAGTCGAGCGCCAATCGGTCTATACTTATGTCTGGTACAGTACTTTCGACTGTAGACGATTTTTTTAACTTCACCAAAGCGTTTAACGACAACGTTGCAAAAGTAAACAACGCCAGTGAACCACCAACCAATGTTGACTATTTAAAGCGTGATGTTGTCGAACGTGTTACAAAAGACTTCCTTACTCATCGATGGGACCAGCTAAACGGTAAACAATTAGTTTTTTTTTCAAAAATTTACATAAAGTTGTTCATAAGGACGGATCAAAGGTATTCGCATGTTTCATCAATTCGATGCAGGAAATGATGGTACTATTCTCTGTCGACGAACGTCAAACTCTCTGGATGCTCACATATTCACTCTTCAGAGCGATCAAAGAGCCGAACAAAAACAGTCTTCTTTACGACACATTAATGCATGACGAGATATTTCTATACAAAACTTCGTTATTCTCGAGCGCGATGATAAACGACATCTTGCTCAAGTCATTGAAATCAATCTGACACAGCAAGAGATGATGGTTCAATGCTACAAGCATTCTTTTCCGCATCCTTCATACCTTACTGTCTTCGCAAAAATGGGAAACAAGTTAAATGTTGATTGGCAAGATATAATTGCATCGCTCATTGTTCAACCAGTGATGGGTAGACGCCATCAACTCTCGCTCTCGAAGGAGCAGTATATTTACATCCAAAATTTTTTCAGATGATCATTTTTACGGATGACTGCATAATCAGTTAAGCTGCACAGCGAGTAAGGCATCATACAACTGATATGAGTCTGCTTGTAAGCAAGCTTTAAGAAATAAAATGCGCTTTTCTCATGGATTGATCCAAGAGCAAAGATTATTATTATCAGTGAAACTTATTTGCTACTAACACGTGTCTTAGTATCAATCAATCATGTTCTTTCGTTAAAATAGGTGTTCAGTATAATTTTCAGGTCGAACAGAAAAAATTTAAAAACTATCAAGGGTATGAGCTTCTTCATTTTATGATCAATGCTATCAAAAATGTTCCGTTGAGATTAACTCAGACTTTTCGACTTTAAATGAAAAATGAAGTATAGGATTTTGTAGAGCAAACTTCGCTCTACAAAACCCACTATACCACAGTTTCTCAGAATATAGCCATTTTGAGTAATGCTAACAGACTTTTTTGGTATTTTTCGTAGTCATTCGCTGACTGATTATTATTGAATAGTCGTCGATCTTATTGGCAAAAAAGCTTCAAAATTCATCGTTTCTTGTACTTTGGCTCTCGGGCTATCAGAATATATAATTTTATTGCATATTCTGTGAAAAAATGCAGAAAAAAAACGGCATCCATCATGAAATATTCTCTATTAAAAAATTCAATAAAATGCATGTATTTTCAACTATTTTCGAGTTTTCAATATTTTGATCATAGTATCGCTATTCCTAAAGAAAATCTAGAACTTTTTTTTACCAAAATGATCAGAGTAAAAAGCTCTACAAAACCATGCACAAAAGAAGATTTTTTAAATACTTTATGTTTTTACGGTTGACGTCACATGGAAATAGTCAAGGAGAAATTATTTTTTTCGCCACAATTGGTTTTTAAATTAAACAAACTCTGTTTCAAATTGGATCCAATCCTTCTTTTACAAAAAACATTTTTGCCATAATGTCTACTGTAAATTGTACCTTTTCTGTAGTTGAAATTCTGAAGGATTCTTGCTTTCATTTTAACATAAAGTTAAATGTCTGGTATCTAAACGTTCAGTAAAGAGTTTTACTTCAAATGTGTTGTTTCAACTAGGGGGAAACGGCAGACTTGAGGTAGAAAAGTACAACAAAGTACAAAATTAGTTTAAAGTTCTTCAAAGTAGGTCAAAATAGGTCAAAGTAGCTTAAAGTAGCTCAAAGTGCCTGTAAAGTAGCTCAAAATACGCGTGAAGTAGCTCGAAGTACTTCAAAGTAGCATAAAGTAACTTGAAGTGCAAAAGTCTGCCGTTTCCTCCTAGTGTTTCAATCATAAGTTTTGAGTTTAAATTATTTTTAATACAATTCTAACAAGTTATCACTACAAGCTTAAAGTTACAGTGTCACTGCTCTAGATCAGTTTATCTACGGTGGTGTATTCATTACCCTCCATATCTTTATATATTACATTCATCTTCTCATCAGTATTTTGTTTAAGTAAAGAAGTGCTCCGAAATAAATCGGGCTCTTACCTGATGTATTCGTCGGTGAAAATGTCACTAATGCTAAACCGGTTACAATCACGGTAAATCGTCCTGTGACGATAGGATTATTTGTGGTTATGACCAAATAGTATACTGTCCCATTATCAAGCCAAATGTATAAATGGAATTGCTGATTGCCGGCATCGTCATTATTGCTTACTATTGCATTTTGAGACGGAGCACGAGGAACGAAACTGTTGTTGTACATATAGCAGTAAGTATCCATTTTACTGATCGATTTGAAAGAATAGTATCCAGCAGTAGAGATGTTCAAACGAAACGCTTGATAATAGTAGGCTGAATCCGAACAGTCACCC